GAGGGGGGCGCCGGTCCCGCCGCGCCGGGGCTGCCCTGGCGGGCGGCGCTGGCACCGCAGCCCCGCGCGCGGGAAGCCGCCCGGACCAACACCAACCCAATAACATCATATTCACCCYCACTTTTTCTTGTTTTTTCCTTAAAAGGCGAGGCTCTCTCCTCAGCACCTTTCYGTGGCACTTTCCCGAGCGCAGGGTGCCGAGGAACAGCCACCCGTTTCTTGTGCTCCCGGCTGCCTTGGCTTGGCAGGGATGGGTTGGTGGCTGCTTGGTGCCCCGGGAAGCTCCTGCTCTCCAAAACTGGCCCTTGTCACCAAACGCGTCGCTTTGCAGGGGATGTTAGCCCAGTCTGGAGCCACACGGGGTGCTMCCGCTGAAGCACCGCGGGGTGTGATAGCCCTGGAGTCCATGCGAGACCCGTTCTGAGGAGCAACCTGCCCATCCGCACCCCWTCTTGGTGGATGATATTTAGGTGTTTGAGACGCGTTTCGCAGAGCTGGGCAATGGCCGGAGCRCTCTGGCAGTGGCAGCCCTGGCTCGGAGCGGTGCGTGTCGCCGCGGGCCCTGAGTCACCGCTCGCAGTATCTGTTTCCGCAAGGAGGGGTTGTGGCTGTGGTGGCGCGTTTGCGTTTGGATTTATTGACACTCCAGCGCCGGGAGGCGAAACTCGCCTGGGTGCAGAAACGGGGCGCCATGCAGCCCAGCAGCTTCCTCGGCTCTTTGTCACCATCCTCCCTCCTGCCACCCTTAACCCCAAGCCGTCACCGAGGGGCAATAAAGCCACAGTCGCTCTGTCGGCTCCTTTGGTGTAGGAAGTGACATCTCCGTGCATGCACCACACGATTAAAAATACTAGATAATCTCTTGGTATGACAAACATAATCCTTCCTTAGTGTTTTCATCTCTTTTTCTTTTCTAATATTGAAGAAATTCAAACTGGAGRTAAAGCTTTTGCTTATAATACCTAATTCCTGCTACTGCCCTTCCTGTTACACCTAAGGCTTTCTTCTTCTATTATGCACGTGCATTTACAAGCATTTGTTGTGAGGCAGCTCCCTTCAAGCGTATTCAGCTCACTCTGTGACAACACAGATAATTCCGCATTTGAGGCTTTAAAAAAAGGGACAAGAACCGGGGAAAAAAAAATCTACAACGAGCAACCTAGAGCAGCAGCGGGACTTGCTGAAGCCAAAACACAGAAGGGGAGTTTGGTGGGACAACCTGGGGACGAGGCTGCTGCTAAACCTCAAAGCAAAAGTGGAAAGAGGAGGCATCTGAGAGGAGAATTTCAGCCCTGCTGATAAGGGAGGACCTCTGTGAGCATGTGTGAGTGTGACTTATCGAATGCCTCAGCTTGAAGGTCTGTCTTACCTAATACAGGCTTATTTTTTCAATGCGATAGCCGGAGACTTTCTGAAAAAAAAAAACCCCAGCATTATCCCTTTTTTACAGAGGACACAGCTGAATCATTCTTATATTCTGTATCCAAATGAAAAATCAAGGATTAAGAGCAAAGGCATTTAATTCTGTGGCAACGTCACCATTCTTTTGCCTTTCCCTTTGTGTGTTAGCTAAGAGAGAGTTCTAGGTTTAAATGACTTGTTCTTTTTCTTTTGCAAAGTAAAATTTCACAAGTGTGTGCACACTTTTATTAAGACTGTAAAAATTCTTCAGATATTTAAAATACCTTCAGTGATAAATGCAAATCTCTCTGTTTTTACATTATCCTATTACAGCCTCTTGAAGTGGTAAGATGGCAAAATGCTATCCCATGTGCCATGCAAAAGTAATTACACTTTGCAGATGAAAATTATAATCTGAARTTGCTTTACCACTGCATGCAGAGATAACCATCTGGTAGAGCCCTCTTGACAAAGTCAGGCTTAGCAGTACAAAACAAGTCCTGTTAAACTGAAACTCTCTTGTCAAACAAGGAAGTGTGATTGCACAACCTGAAAATAAGGTGATAACTAACATTTGTTGTACCTCGTGTGGACAGGACAACCGAGAGCAACTGTTCCTTGGTTCCTTACTTGTAAATACCAGCAAGCAAGATGCAACCATTTGTATCAGCTTTGTCAGCTGCAAATCAAGATATACTGTCAGAGTTTAAACTGTATTTATTACTATATATACTGAAATATTCCTCCTCAACAGCATTTTGGGAATCCAAGGTCACTTATTGTTGTGTAGTAAAGTAATTCTGGTAGAACATTAATATTTCCCTTGCTTGGATATGCATAGACTGAGACCCGTTCTTTTCTACCCCATCTCCAAACTTTTGTTTTTCCCTCTTTAGTTGGGGAGGTGGCAGGGGGGAAAAAGGCCCATGTGTTACAGATGGTGCAATGCAGCAGGATGAATCCTTTGTGTGTCATTTTAATTACAGGGGAGACATGGAAAACAAAGTTGTCTTGCATCAAGTCTTCTACATGAATCACTAGGGACAGGGATTTCGTACTTCAGYATCAGCTCTTTGCTATTTTATTGCATCCTAGGAATAAATGCTTTCTTTCCGAAAAGGCAGTTCTCAAGAGCTCTTTCAGGTGGATTTGGAGATGGGCACTGCTGCTCCCAGCCCAGCTTGAGAAACTGTGAAGCTTCCTGCATTAGCTGCTGGAAGCCACGTGGCAGCATTGGTGTTCTCCCATCCATTTTTTCCTCATGCAAAATAACTACATGCTTTGTTTCACAAATGCCACACTTCCTTTAAAAACCGTCCTGGCTAGTTCCAATGGTGCCATCCCTGCAGGCTGCTGTAGTACTGATGCTGGTGAGGTTTGGCTGACTAGAAACCTGTAGCTTTGAYGTTAGCTCAGCATCCCTGTGCCCTGCACCACTTTGCAGGGGGAGCCACAGGATGGTCCCTTGCCAAGGGGGTCCTCCTCCATTTACAGGTTGTTTGGGTTAAATAAAAGTTATTGTGACTTGTAATGAGGCCTCCACCTTAAACAATGGGTTGATTAAGATCTGTCTCACATGGTTGCTTAAGCATTTTTAATAAAACATGTGAGTACCCATATGCAACAAGAGTTTGCTGGCTGTATAGAGCRTTTTATTCTTTATCTGTCAGCCCTAGACCTCTGTTACAAATGTAAAAACAGAAGCCTGGAGCAGTAGGAGGTTCACCCAGTCCACAAATGGATGTATGTTTGTGTTTTGGGATGTGCTCTTTGCACAGTGCCACAGAACAATTTCTTTTTGAGCTTTCAGGTTATCCTTTAGGATTACACGTGGAATTTTGTATTGACAATAATATTCCATGAGGCCTTCCTTAGCATTGCCCTAAAGGCTTGTCTGAGGCGGTGCAGTATGAAACACGGAGTTTGTGTGTGAGTGACAGGGCTGGTTCTTCACCCCAGGACCTGGTGGGGAAGGGGAGCTCGTGTCACCCCTGAAGGAGCCGTGTGTGCCAYGTGTCCCCTTCCCTCCTGGCAGGCGCCGTGCTGCCCTTGGCGTGCGGCGCCGCGCACCGCGCGTGGTGCCGGGTCGTCAACATGTCGGCGCCGCGCGCCTCCCTCCTCTCCGCCGCCAACGGCACAGCGCAGAGCGCCGCGGCCGCCGGCAGCGCCGCGGGCCGGCTCTACGGCGGCCTCGCGTTGGCYGTGGGCTCCAGCGTCTTCATCGGCGCCAGCTTCATCCTGAAGAAGAAGGGCCTGCTGAGACTGGCCACCAAAGGAGTCGCCAGAGCAGGTAAGCCGGCCGGAGACGGAAACGCAGGATTAGGTCTCTGCACGTAGTCGCAAGGACTGGGGTGCCCACATTCTTAGGGATGGATATAGCATATTTTCCGGCCTCAGCAGCAATCTTCACCAGCTTTCCTCTTTCGTTTAGTACTTTTCCTCCATGTATATTTATCAAATATTGGTTTCTATAAGTAGAGCGCTTAAGAAAAATATCGGTCGAAACCAAGCTAATATCGGTGTCACATCCAGCTAATATGTTATTTTAGTGTATGGTTTACTTAAACTGTTTACTGGAAATGTGAAGCTGTAATATTGCTTATTATAATAAAGCGMATTTTTCGTCTAAACTGAGATTTTATTCTCCCCTGTCAGGACAGGGTGGATATGCTTATTTGAAGGAATGGCTTTGGTGGGCTGGATTGCTGTCAAGTAAGTCACCTCTTTCAAACTACGTTACTAGTATGTATAAACTATTTTAAATAGATTCATTACATTTTTTTTTCATTCTTCTTCTCACCTAAAAGGAATTTCATCACAATTACCTTTATGTCAAAAGCCATTCTGATATCTCAGGTCTCAAGTACTTTGTTTGCTCTTCAGAGCTCTCTGCAGAATAGCACTTTTCTTTAATATCCAGTCAAAAGCAGCAGAGCTGAAGCCCCGTCGTGCTCCTGGGTGCTATTCCTTCTGCAAAGGTGCTGCAGTGGCAGAGTTGTTCTGTGACATTGGCATTATCATTGAAGTTACGCTGTAATATATAGCACTAAGGGAAAAGGATTTAACTTGCTTCTGTCTTTGGTTTTATTATAGGCAGAAGGGGTAATGATGATGCTTTTGAAAGCAAACTGTGCACATTTAATGTAGAGAAAATATGATATTTGAAAAAGCATAATATAGAAAAAGATTGATATTTTCTACCATATCTGCATTCCTATTATTGTCATTTCTAGCATACAAACTATTTACAACAGTATTCTTTTTGTCTCCACTGTCCCCTTCAGCCCAGCCTCAATCTGAATGTGTTTTCTTTTGCAGTGGGATTGGGAGAAGCTGCCAACTTTGCTGCCTACGCCTTTGCCCCTGCAACCTTAGTTACTCCCTTGGGTGCACTGAGTGTGCTTATCAGGTTAGTACAAAGTGGAAGCAAACATCTAAAACGAATCATTTGCAGTTTGAAGGGCATTTTGAGGTATTATGTCTTTGACTGAAAGCAGAGAATTGTAATAAAATAAAAGAGCAAGTCTAAAGGATGATTTTTGCTTTTGGTGGAAAGTTCCTTGTTAATATCCTGGGTAGAGGGAATGGAAAGTGTTGTTCCAAAGACTCACATACTCTTTCCCAACAACCTTGCATATCTATTATAAGCTATTTATTACCAGCACGTACCAGATGCACTGCTGCTCTGTAGCGGTAGAAGACTGTAAATTATCCCATTCTAGAACATGTAGAGGGCTAAAGCTTTCCTAAAAAATCCTTTAGCTATAACAAGACTAAGGTACATTTAAACATTTGATATGTATTTTGGGTTCCCTTTTGTTCTTCCTTTTTCAAGTTCTTCAGGAAAGAGGGCAATAATTTTAATATCCATGGTTAAAATTTGTGGGGGGATTTGTTTTTGTCTTGTGAACACCTTTCAAACACTCACTAACTCAAACATACGAAGAAATAAATGATTCCCAAATACTTGGACAAATGCACAAACAAGGATTACACTAACAGCTAACTTTCTGGAAAATAATTTCTTATGAATATTGAATTATTATAATTTAAATGTAAACATATTGTTTTGAAGAATATAGTTTCAAACACCATGCTTCATGTAATATACTAAATTAGGCAGTATTTTTAAACTGCTTGTATTTAAAAAAAGGCTTGTAATAAAAAAACTGTTATGAAGACATATTTTTTTTGAAAATAAAGCAAGTGTAATTCAGTCACCTGCAGATATACTGTGACTGGTGTGTAGGTAGCTGCACACTCATGGGCTGCTGCTTCTCAAAACAGGCCGAGGTTCAACTGCCTCCCCTTTGATGTGGGTAGCGATCTTCCAACTTTCATGAAAATGAGAATTTGTGAGAACTCGGTATCAGCAAGATCTCTGCCCTCCTGCAAAACTGCACTGTAATTTCATCGATGAGTTGAAAAAATATATTTGTGAATTTGTTTTTCTGTGAGTTTCTGCCTGTGGTGAAGCCTGCTCCTGGGCCTGAAGCTGTGCAGTTGCTGGCTAATGAGCCACACCACAAGGCAACCTCATTCACACCATATTGTCCTCAGGTGCAAGAACTTGAGGAAGGGGTTGAGGAATTGCTTCCTAAACTCCCTTGCCGGCCTTGTAGTGTCAAATGAAACGGTTAAGCCTTTTGTTTTCTTTTTTATTTTTTCCTTCTGTCAAAATTAGCCTCTCCTGTGGTTAACTTAGAGGTGTGTGAGGCTGCTGTGTGAGCAATGCACATCTCTTACTGAGGATCCATAGATAATGAGAAATTTCTCTAGCARTTCTGACCTTTACCACCTGGATGGGAAGGATCAGAGTCATCAACCTTCCTCCTCACAGATCTTAAAACTGCAGGGAAGTAGAAGAGTTTGATTATTTCAGGCTGGTTTCGCATAGAGCCAGATTCACAACAGGCTCTGGATTGTCACCATGCCATGCAGGCACGTTCCTAACATCTCACACGGCTGGTGGAGCTGAACCTCGTGTTTGTGTTTTGGCCAACAGCGCAATACTCTCCTCTTACTTCTTAAACGAGACACTGAATATCCAYGGGAAGCTGGGCTGTGTGCTGAGCGTGCTGGGGTCTACAGTCATGGTTATCCATGCGCCCGAGGAGCAGGAGGTCACCTCGCTGGGCGAGATGGAAGTAAAGCTGCAAGATCCAGGTCTGTAGATCTAACCTGCCCTATTTCATGCAAAACTCTGTATGGGAGACCTGTGAGCGCTCTTACCTCACTGGACCTGCTTGTGAGAGAGTGAACTGAACTGAACTTGGTGATTGCCATTGAATTATGGTGTTGTTTGGTAAGAAATGGAGTTTAATATTTCTGTAACTGCTTTCTTTACCTATATTTATGTTCTGGATATGACTGCRAGCAGGGTTTTATATACAGACACTAAGAATCCCTATGCAAATAGGAACTTGGTTTTATTTATTTATTTACTTTTAGGCATATGTACATGTATATCCTCACTCTCTGCACTTACCAGTGATGCTGCATTAGCAAGAGTAATGGCAGATGGGCAGTGTTAGGTGAAGGAAATCATATTGTGATGCCTAACAGCTCCTGTAAGCTGCTTTGCCAAGGAAGCAACAGGTAGTACATGCATGTACTGTAGGTTGCATGATTGTGATTGTAGAAACTGCCAAAGTCTACCTCCTTCAACGTCCAAATGTTCTTGGAATACACAGAATTAAAGATACTGCCTTGATTCATTAAGGTTTTATTTATAACCTGTGCCTTTACAGTCCCACCTTGGGTAGATTACGTAGTTAATATTTACAACGTCCCCGCAAAGCACAATGTCGGAATGTTCTTAATGATCTTATAATGGTCGGTGCAGATTCTCAAAGAACTGTATGGAGAGTTACCTGTATCTTTAATAAAAACCAGCAAATACAAGAATGAAACTTTAAAATATATATTCATTGTTACAGTCGAATATTTTCCAGTGTATGGCATGCARTCTGCTAAGTACTATGTAGTAGAATTTAAAGATCAGCATGCTGCTTAATACATGTATGGCGACTGCAATCTCCTGCAATATTTATCTAGATATTTAAAATACACTTAACTATATATTTATTATAAAAGAAGTATGTTTAATATTATTTATTCATTGTATAAGGACCTTTGAGGGAAGATTTMTCTCTGAATGCCTCTAGACAAACTCTTTGTCCCCATATGTTTTGCTGTACTCAGAATGGAGAAGAGCAGGGGCTCCTGCATGCTGCGTGCCTAAGGAGAGGATCAGAAAGGAAGTAGTACAGTAATCTTCTGAGCTTCTGACCTCAGTTAGAGAGGGAATTACTTCAGTTTTCCTTTCCCACCTGTAATAATAATTTACTGATGCGTGGGACGCCTTGAGATTAGTTAACTCTTTTCACAGACTTTGAGCTGGCAGTTTTTGCTTGCAAATACTGGCTAATGAAAAGTGCAAACACTATCAAAGTTCCAGCTGGAAGCATATAGGTCCYTTGGGAACAGCTCCAAGAGCTTAGCAGGATCCCAGACAGGAAGGTCCCAGCTGCTGAGCTTTCTTGGGATGATTCTGCCCAGAGCCCACAATCCCCCAAAACAGTATAAACAGAGAGCTTCTGTGTGAGCACTGTATCATGTTTACGAAGGATACAGGCTTAAGAGTGGTACCTCTTCTATGGCTTCTTGTAGATTATTTGGCTAAGAAAGTATGTGCTATTTCTTCCTGCCCTTTYAACCTTGCAGGGTGATGAAAAGCTCCAGAATCCAAGTTATCTCCACTTTAAACAGATAACAACTTTCAGTTACCTTCACCCTTAGCCTTCACTYAACTCCATTTGAGTTGCTGTCTAGCTCTGAGTTCTGCTTAGAGCCCTGTTCTGAGTTCTCTGAGTATCAGGGTGTTCATATCAAATGCAGCTAATCTCTGCAGGTCATAGGGTGCATATCAAAAGCAAAAGCATGGCTGAGAAAGGGGGAACTTTGCCTGGGGAAGTGCAGCTTAGGACAAAATGAGGCTCATCATCCAGCCAGGTTAATCTCTAGGGATCATTTGTGATTGTTGAGTCCGTAGTTATGTAATTTTTTTTAATATATTGTTGTGTGTTGATGTGCTTTTCTCAAAGGCTCTGTACTTGCCCTTTCAAGGGGATGAGAGCCATTCTTTAATGAAAAAAGAACAACTTTTACCTGGAGATTGAAGACACCATTGCTATTTCATCCATCTCACCAAACATTTTCTCTTTCTTTATAGTGAGTCAGTACTAGCAGTCCAATAAAATATGTAGCTGCCATAAATATTTTAAATAAACAATTTGAATTAATTCACTGGAAGTGTTGAATGGGTCGAGGTGCAATGAACTTGTGCTACGGTACATAGAGAAGTATTAGAGAAATAGAATGTTTTTTATCATGTGCTTGAATATAGTTTGACATTCTYATGTTTATTACTCTTCTATTTCCTCTTTCACACAGTGTTTGTCACATTTGCTGTTGTCACAACAGCCRTCGCTCTTGTGCTGATATTTATTGTGGCTCCAAAGAGAGGTCAGACAAATATATTGATCTACATTTTAATTTGTTCACTCATTGGTGCCTTCTCTGTCTCATCTGTCAAAGGCCTGGGCATTGCCATCAAACAAATGCTGCAGGGGAAGCCAGTTTATCGACATCCATTGGTTTACATTTTGGTGGGAATCTTAGTGCTCTCGGTCAGCACTCAGATCAACTACCTCAACAAAGCGYTGGACACGTTCAACACGTCTCTGGTAACCCCTATTTATTACGTGTGCTTCACCACCACAGTGGTCACGTGCTCCATCATCCTCTTCAAGGAGTGGAACAGCATGGACCCYGGGGACATCGTTGGCACCCTGAGCGGGTTCTGCACTATCATCATAGGCATTTTTTTCTTGCACGCTTTCAAAAATATTAACATCACCTGGAAGCAGCTGATGTCCACGGTTGTAAAGGAACCTTCATTGCCAAGCCATGAAGGTGACTGCTGTCATACCTTGCTGGAGAACATGGAAAGCCCAACTTCGGCACATGAGGAGGACAATGTGTTATGCAGGCAAGRAAGCTCTCAAGCAACTTTTCCTCAGTGAAGGACTAGGAAGTGCAGGCTCAGGCTGCCTGAGTTCCTCAGGACCCTTTGCCTTTCAGAAGTCCTCTGGAAGGCCACCTGTGGAGTGAGTTACGTGTGGGATACCTTCCCTGTGCCACGAAAAGCAGCCAGCTCTTGGTAGAAAWGAATGAAAAGGATTGGGAATGAACAGGACGGACACAAGCCCAATGTGGTTTCAGCATCAGGCAATAAATAGGTCTGTCTAATTTCTAGATATAACAACTGCTGGGAATTTTAAAATTAAAAGTTATATTCTTAGATATATTTACAGTGTGCAAATTTTCCATCACGGTAAAAGATAATGTCCGTGCTGAAATAACAAGCAGTCTATTATCTTAGTAATGGCCTTGATATTTCAAGTTCTATAGACATATATAGATAGATATCTATAAAAGGTCATTGCCAAGCAAGCTTGTTGCTGTTCTACCTGAAGGATATTCACTGGAGATATAATATGAAGAAAATGCTGTCTAATCGTTTTGGCTTTTAGTGACAAATTTTATGTAAGGCTTTTCTGTTTGTTTTTGTTTACTTTTGAGTGCCAATGACCTTTGCAGCTGTGTTGCACAAAAGGCTACGAGATGTGGTTCTCAATAACTAGTCTCCTTCAAACCCTTTTTTCGATAACAAAGTTATCATTTTTATTCTAGGAATATTTCCCTCTCCAAGTCCCTGAATACAAATGTACATTTTTAATTCRAAACTATGACCAAGTTACTATTTAAAAAAAAAAAAAAAGCTGTTTCTAGGCCTGAAAACAGTTGCTGTTCACTTCTAAAACACTACCTAAGATGAAAGAATACTTTATTCAAAGRCAGCAAACCAATATTCGCGGTTAATAATTTCTTCTCTCTTTATATTACTCCAAAGCAGAGGCAGATAATTCATTTATTTTGGTGTTTTCCCCTAAATACTTCAATCCATACATCAGAACCTCATTAAGCTTTTTTTTTTTTTCTCTTTTTCTAGAAGCAGCCCAATGTTTCTTGATAGCAAAAGAGTCCTGTTCCTCTATATATTGGTATGAAAGCAGAATTCACTTCCAAACAGTGCTCTACTTCTAAAAATAATGGGTAAAGGAAGGGCTGCAAACAGTAGTTGAGAAATACTGAAACGTTACAGTAACTGTTTTTCTTTGGCTTTTCTGAAATGAATATTCACCTCTAATAGATGTTTTATCTCTTAATCTTAATATTACTCGAAGATTTATATCTGTACAACTGTTTATTCCTCAGTTGTGGTCACTAATCTCTCTCTCCTAAAACTCTGCACAAGCCACGTGTTACTCATCACCATCCCCTTACCCCTTTATGAGCAAGAAAGCTGCTTTGGCAGCCAGGTGTGTGGGTCATAACGAGCTCATCAGCAAGTCAGTTATTTCCACATGTCAGGGTTTCCAAATGTGAGCTCAGCAACTTTATCAGAGGATGCCAGCATGAAAGAAAAAAATAAAGCTGGCTTGATCAAGAATGAATGTGAACGAGTCAAGATTCATATGCAAACGGGAACCTTTTTATAACGAAGGCTGCACATTCCTAACTTGCAAAGAGGGAAATAAAAGTGTAGGAGGTAGAAGTGTCCTCCAGGTGGGTACAGAATTGTTCTCCTGTGAATTAGGAGTGAAAACTCCTAATTGCCTTGCAAGAGCCAAATGGTTGCTGCAGATATTTTTATGTTCATTGTGCAAAGTGTAATATTGATGGCTGAGCTCATGAATTTAATTTTGAAAGATGTCTGTGAAACGTTTCTCCTGTTGCTTGCGTTTCGCCCATTCTGATCATGTTTCAAAAACACGATCATGTTTTTTAGCGTTTGCTGAGTGTTTGCTTACTAGACAGTAACGCTCAAGGTGCTAAATTAAAACATTTTCTGAATTTTTACATTTTTACACACACACACACACACGAAAAAAAAAAACCACCAACTCCCATTTTCCTGGGGGCATGTATCTGAAAATGTGACAAAAAGAGTATAGGCAGCCCTTGACCTTTATAGAAGGTATGCAGATGACTTTGCCAACATAACAGTGCAGCAAGTGGCAGCAGTTATATCTCATCKAAAGCAGACACTTTCACATTTCAAAACTGTTCTTGCCTTGCAAATACATTAACAATGTAGTGCATTCAGGTGGAGATCGTGTTTCAGCTTTCCGAGTGGTGAGACAGAAGGCAATGCTAGATTACTAAATGCAAGTGTTAAAGATGCTCCATAAATTGGAGGACAAGGCAAAATATAAATTATAGTGTCATGTCTTCATAGGTAATGTGAAAAATACTTCAGTTCTATTGGTCAAATCCAAGATACAAACACTTTGGAATTAAAGGAAGGTGATAATGTGACTAAATGCAACTTTGTTTATGAAACTCATTTTGTTTTTTGCAGTGTGAATTACTCATAATTTATAGAATAACTGAAGAGGACAATATTGACCGACCCTAAAAAGACAAAGGGAAATCATTTGGCAAAGCTGGTGCCCATAGTATTTGCTTATGCAGTTACCAATTTTGTGTGACTGAAGGGATTTTTGGTAGGAAAGAGTAACCAGTCCAATTCTTATGTGGATATGCACTGGCTTTTTTACAGATAGTATTTAGTAGTATTGCCTTTTTTTTTTTTGACAGGGACATGGGCTTTTTYCATGCATACTACTGTCATTTAACTTATACCAAGCAATAATTTTGTACTTCCTACTGGACTTGCATGTAAAATAACCTTTGCAGGGCAAATAGTGTGATTTTTCTTATGAGTTTCAGTAAATCAAAGTTAAAGCTTATTTTTTATGCTACCTATAATGCTAAGAAATAAATTATTGATTTCTTTTTGTATACACTAACATTTGCTATAAGAGATGTTATTTTTGAAAATGTTTATACTTACTAATTTGGAGTAATTTTAATTCCTTAATGAAATTATACTCTTATTGTAATAAAGTATTCATGGACTGAGTTCTAAATGAATTCATGTTCTTTTCTTGTTGCTTTTGATTGTTTTTACGGAGGAAAAGCAATAAAAGCCATGCTGCTGGTAAGCATTTAAATGCTGTCCAGTGGATCTGAAGTGAATAACCTGGTTTCAGTCGCCTGTATGTGACTGTTGGTCATTCTAGATGAACATGACTCTCTAGCTGATAACCTGGCAGCTCGTGTGCATCTCAGCTGGTCATGATCATACAAAAGCAGTAGTAGCTTTTGAGTTTGTAAAGATAAATGTTCTACTCTCCCAAAAAAGCTAAGGGCGGAACTGTTGCATCCTTTCAGTTAGCTGAGGAGTCTATAATGGGGCTGGAGGAAGAGTGAGAGGTTTGGGATCCTCGGAGATGGTGACTCGGCTTTGCCAGGATGTGCTGCTGTTAGCTGGGTCGTGCATCAGTCTCAACAAGGAACAGGTAATGCTGATGGTTAAACTAGCTGTTGGAACACATGCATGTTGGGGGACAAAAATAATGGGTTTGAAACTCCAAAAGCCAATTCCTTAGCAAATTCTGTTTTTTATAATGCCCATAGTCAGTGGAATGGATTTTGGCAAGCGTTCAGGTTTTCCGGGCAGCAATATGAAGGATACTATTCAGAGTTATTGGAGGCATTACAAAAGCAGGGGAGTGGTTAAGGGCTAGAACCAAGAAAACCTCACACACAACACATCATTGCTAACCAAACTCCGACTTTTAAATACTGATATAAAGCCACRTTGGCAGCTTCTCACTACCACAGCACCTCAGGGCAAGTGGGCAATTAAATTAATTATGTAGCAATGCTGATTAAATGTGAATAGGTCAAGGAGACTTGAATAGGTAAAATAATCTGTAGKGAATTTGGAAAGAAGTTCACAGGTTATAGCTGTCTATAGAAACATGTGCTACCATCTTCCCTTACTACTCTCCTAGCTAAGCCTAAAATAGACTTGCCCTGATGAAGGTGAGTCTTGTTCCAAACCTAAACCTCGCTACTTATCACAGTTGTGACCTGGGGATATTCCGGGAATTACACACTCGTGGCTAATRTTTAGTTACTGGTTAAACTGCAGCAAAACAAAGTGGGTAAGTGTATTTGGAAACACTTATGCAAATGCCTTCCAGGCTTCCCTTTGCAGAATTCCTCCTTGCAGTTTTTAAAGAAAAGCTACAAATTTTTCTATTCCATATCCTATATCTGTTTACAGCTAGATTAAGAGGGTATATGGAAGTGAGGCTATATGTAAGTAATTATGCAGCTATTTCTCTGTCATGTAATTGTTTAGAGAGGAGAAAAAAATATCACTCTGAAAAACAAGTGGACGTAAGCCTGTATCCACAGGTACTTGATCTGCATTATTTGTCAGGAAAGCTTTTCAGGAGACAAATGATTTCGCCATCTGAAGGTAAATACTGGTTTGTCAGTGAATTCTGGATGCTTCTCTTTTCTATCAAAAGCTGAAGTGATTCGTGTCCCAGAACGGGCACTTCTGCATTCTTTCCTCATCCCTCGCACTGCCTTGCTGCGAGTCCATTTCCTCACGTTCAGCCATCAGCTGGATTTTCACAGGTGCTGAGGACTTGTTCAGCCTCGCAACTAGGTCTCTCTCACACAAACACACGAGGGTTTAAAAGCCCCAAATCGGGCAATACTGGCCCCAGCTGCCCTGCTCCTGTGCTTTGATTTCTGAACACGGTCGGCATCTGAGCTGAGCTCCCAGCACCCACGAGGCCTGGGGTGCCAATTGCTAAACTTTATTTATGGGTGTAGCTCTTCTTGGCAAGTAAACAAGCCTAATACACCTGACCTTTGTCCTGCTGGGCCTTCCTCAACACTGCTGAAGCGCAGACTTCCAGTGCTGCCAGGCACGTTGCAACGCACCTGAATTTACTCCCTGCCAGGCATTCGCTGTTGGCTGTTAAACGGCCCTGTCCCCACGTGTTAACCAGGGCCTGCCCAGCAGCTGGGGCCAGTGGCACCACTGCTTGCTCAGGGCACGCCGGCCTCCCTTCCCTTGCCCAGCAGCGTTGAACCTGCTAGCTATATATTAACCCGTGGTCGTAAATGTAGCAAAACCCGTTTCCCAAGAGCTATTAAAAGAAATTCTTCATATACTATTCAAAGGCTCCATGTATTTTTACATTTGCAGATGTACACTGAATTTGGCATCGCTGGTTAAAAAGCAACGCGTGGCTGTGGCCTAGGCCCAAAGTTGTTGTGTGTGCRCAGCAGTGTTGTTTCATTTTACCTTATTCTTTTAGCAGGTAACAAAAGAAGGATAAAGATACCGCGTTTCACTTGAAGCAGCAATGCCTTAAAACACTATTCGAAAATACTCCCCAAAATGTGAATGATAGAAGAGCTTGCTTTCCCTAGGGATAAAATCTATCATAAAGTAAAAGTTATGGAGAGTGAATTTGACCTAGAGATACTGTTATCTCCTAGAAATCCAAAATTGGGCAAAATTAAGATRTTTCATTTTATTGTTGCAGTTATCTTTAAGATTCGGAAATGGGGGGAAAAAAAGTAAAATTAAGTTGTAAAGAATTTCTTCATTCTTCAGATAATTTTAAGTTATTTTGCCTGAAAAATGCTATAAAATCAAATATGCGTGTTTTTATAAATGTCACAACGCAATCACATGTTAAGAAACTATTTATTGTCAGTGGCCTAACTCTTATGTTAAATAACCATCTTTAAACTATTAAGTAATAGCCTTCACTTTTTCTGTCATTGCTCAAAAYGAAGAGTAAATGAAACGAATATTAACCTAAATCTGGGTTACGGACGAGCAAACATGGGGTGCTGCTGCAGTGGTCAGTGGGTGAGCTCAGCAGCACCATCGCTGCTGCTGAAATACTGGTGCTTTGCTTCAGCATCGCCTGCCTCGCAGTGCAAAAGGTCTCGTCCTTAAACTCGACCTACTTAGAGCTTCAGCAGAGTTTCCTGCATCACATTAGCTGTCACCCATCTGTATTCCCCAGTCCATGAAACTGTATTAAGCAACAAATCATTTCTTATTAATATTGTTACAGAAATTAGTGACACTCTTGTTTGGAAGAAAAAAATAAATGAAAAGGCCTACAGGGCAAGAAAGTTTAGSTACTACTTTTCAGACAGAAGACTTTTCTCCCTGAAAACAAATGGTTTCCTAGTCCAAAACCAAATTTCCTGAGATACGTACTCAAATGACTAAAACAAAATTAGGCCAAATCTGWACAGTTGCTTCAATACTTAGGGTGCAGACACTGTGATATAAGTAAAGAAGACTGTAAAGAAATGAGCTTTTTGTATCAACTACATTATTGAGTCTTAATGCTAATATTTCGGCAAAAAAAGGTGTGTGAAAACCTGACTATCCCATCTCTGTTATATTTGTTAGGGTCTCTAGTAGCTCTGCAAAAGTAGGACGTCCATCGGGTTTCTGAAAGGAAAGTAGAGGATAAATGCATGTTAGGAGTTGATCAATTATGGTAGTAACTTCAGAATATAGTTACACATTATTGTATGGTTACAAYAAGCTACCACTTAAAATTACATTTGATTCTAATATAGAGAAAAAAATATTAAGGTTATTACCCAAGAGAAAAATTTCATGTGTTCTTCAAGTCAATGTGTCAGAAAGTCAATAGACAGCTTCCTGTCTATACCATAAGCACAGCCACTTTTCAAAGAGTTTCTAAAATTTCTTTAAGAATCTTTTATTTTGTTTCTGGACCAGAACTTCCATAGGGTTTCTCCAGCTGCAAAGRATCACTGGAAAACACTCAGGAAACCATGATACTCAGGGATGTTCCCTGGGCCTTTGGGAAAGGATCGATCCTGTTGCATTATTTCAAGTATTGCCATAGGGAAAATTTCATGGGTAGATGTSAGAACAAAAACCTGAATGGTACTGAATGGGAGAGGAGGGAATGAAAAGGGGCCACACAAGAGAGCAGAAAGGGAACTGTCTGCTGCATTACTACAGCTATAGTGAGATATACATCCAAAGAAGGTGCTATAAAATCTGTACTTTGTAGGCAGCGCTGCTTTGGACAGGAATATGTTAAGGTCATCATTCAGAACAGAGCCAGATAAAGCTATGACAGGGTGTGAAAGAAGTCTTACACCTTACATTTGATGCAGGTGAGAAGTGAGACCACAGTGGAATAGTCAAGAGCAAGGATGATGTAGACCTGTTGTATTAATGATGTGCCCTACTTTTGTTGGATGTAACAACCAAAAGAAACGGAGGCTTGTAAGCTTAGCCATGATTTGTGGAAAGAACAGTGAGTGCTGCAGAAGCTGATAACACTGGTATGAAATTTAATGCCTCATGTCTCAAAGCTGCCTTTAGGTCTGCATTAAAAATGAAGAATACAGTAAAGTAATATCACAAGACAGTAAAAGCAACAAACCTCATGCCAGCAGCTGTACATGACTTTGTACACAGTATATGGTGCCAGATATGGTCGATAAAGTCGGTTACCCTCAGAAATCTCACGGACAACTTCAGAATTTGATTTACTTTCAAAAGGCATTTTGCCTTCTGTGAAGACTTCCCACATCAGTACACCTAGAAATGAACATTTGGGAGGAAAAAAAAAGAAGGACAAGTTATTTGACAGTATCAGAAGCACACACCAAAAAAGAAAAACCAACCAACAAACAGAACACTCCTTGCTTTGAATATGACAAGAAAATAAGAGCAACCTGAGCTGAATGAAGAGAGAACTGGCAAAATTCTCAGATAATACAATTTTCCCCCTATTTAAGTCAGCTAAGAAAATGGCCTATTAAATTACTGAAATGAATACGTATTTGGCTAATGGCAACAATATAAAGAACGCCTATTTCAGTCAAAATTAATTTTTTTGACAACTAGGGTTTCGGTGGATGGGTATTTTCATGATTAGTAGGACCGTGTGTAGACTGATGTGCAAGACTATGTCTGTTAAATTACCTAGAAAAAATAAACGTTAGGAATAATGAAATTTCTGTCTTGTAGGAGAAGTAGGATATCAAATCTGGATATGCAGACCAGGTCCTTGAACTTCTAAAAGAGTTCACAAACACTTTCTTCTAACATAGGTGAGATTTAAAAAATGGGGGAGGACTAAAGCTAAAGATAAGCTAGAGGGAATGTCAATAGAATATTGCACTTCTTTAAATCTTATCAGACATTTCAGAGAAACACACTATGTTGYTGCACATTAAACTAATCGACTCACCAAATGACCAGACATCTGATTTGCTGCTATATTTTTTAAAATGAAAGACCTCAGGAGATGACCACTTGATTGGAAACTTGGCACCTGAAGAGCTGATATATTCATCATCAATGACATACCTTAAAAGAAGAAATCAAGAAATAGAATATATTTTAACAGTAAAGAGCAATTTATTTTGGATACATTTCTCCAGGCACTTTATAATTCAACAAAAATATTGGGTCAATATAGAAAAACAAAGCAATTGCATCATATATTTGAGCACCCTTTCTGTCATGCAAGTAGTGAGATATATGTTACAAAAAACAAAAAAATCCGGTTCACTGAAAGGGCAATTTTYTTTGCCCAAGCTGATAGGAGCTATGCGAAGGTCTCCCAGTGAAGAAGATGAGGGCCCTTTGGCTCTGGAAGTGTGAGAGCAACATTTTGCAAGGCTGGCAGATGGACCCCTGTGTATGTACAAGTTTTGTAGATGTTCCTGGTATCAACCTACATTAGCGAAGGTGTTCTCAGGGCAGGCAGCAGCATGAACTCCTTTTAGCGCCCGTAATAAGGTCACCCAGAGAAACCGCTGCTTCGATTTCCCTCTCTTAGTCTGGTGCGGGCACAGAAAGAGGTCAYCGTGAGTGTGAAAGGGCTGGGGCGGGAGCTTTGCAAGCTCTGAGGGACCTCAGGGTGTCGTGGTGGCCTCGCAGTGGCCTCCCTGGATGGGAGGGAGGTTCCTCCAACACCCACCTGGTGCTAGGTCCCCATAGCCACCATGAGCCACTCGAGTCCCTGTTACTCAGGTTGGATCCTGACAACATTTTTGTCCCTCACTATGCTTGTTTTTTGGTGAATTTGGATGAGTTCAGCCTCCTCATGCTGAGGTAATACTTGTAGGGAGCAAAGCATCCAACAGGCATTGACATGGGCTAGCATGACCTTTTAAAAACAACTGTTTAGTCACAAACTGTGAGCGTGCAAGTATCCTTAGGCTAGAAATACCAAGTGTTTCTCCACCTTTGGCTGGTCCACACATTAAGCAGAAAAGCCACTTCCCTGCTTGGTGAGCACAGGCCACTTCCTGCTATGAAGGCCCCGAGAAGGTCAGTGCTTATATAGACCCTCCCCAGCACTCAGAAACCTTGGGGAAAAACTGTTTCTTTAAGCTCCTGGCAGCCCATCACTCACTGAGCTTTTCAAAAATCACTTTTGATATGTCAAAAAAACATTTTCTACCAGTAGCAAGAGAACAATGTATCAGGCAGCCACGGTGCAACCACTAAATAGCAGCCCCAGCATTTCAGCAAGTGCCTGGAAATTGAGTGCAATGGGAGTTCCCAAAGCAGCAGAGTGAGCCATGCCATTAATTAAGGCCTTGATGCTGCTGACTGAAAACAGGGCACTCCAGAAAGTCATGTGTGTGTCTTCGTACCTTGCCATCCCAAAGTCAGACACTTTAACAACRTGATTCGCGTTGACTAAGCAGTTCCTTGCAGCCTAGGCAAAGTGAGAGAAACAGAGTTGAAATCAGTGCATTTTTAGAAAACTACAACAGTTTTATTTTTTCATCTTACACATATAGTTTATATTCTAAAAGGGTATGATTGACCYCCTCAAAAATACAAGATAAAAAGGGAAATTCTGGCTTCAAGTGAATGAAAATGCTTCATCACTGCATCATATCATTTACACAGACTTGTCAGACTGAATGCTTTAAGTATAAGCTAAAACATTTCATATATTCCTGCACAGTAAAATAAAATTTTAGGATACAGAGTTTAGTTATCCAAGCAGCTATACTCCCGAATGCTGGCATTAGGATACTTACTCTGAATTTTAAAAACTGTTCATGAAAGAAATCAGAACTCCTTGGAAGCTTTTGAGACTTTCCATTTTTTTCCAGCAGCCAGAATGGGCAGAGCAGAAAGATTTCTGCTGCATCCAGACAGGAGTGTTGGAGAAAAAGCAGAATATAAAGAAACTCCTCCCAGATGCTTGACGGATAGAGGAGAAAAGCACATATCCCATATACCCCAATCCCAAGGCAAGGTGGTGGAGAGCAAGAGGAGAGAGGGAAGAGAGAGAGATTTTGTTACATAGAATAATTTGCTACTGCTGCCCCTTTTTATTCCTGAGATTATGGCTGCACTGTGATCAGTGTGTGATAATCCTATGGATGGATCCTATCCCATGGATGTCTTTCCATGATAATTTCCTGGCTTGCTTTGACTTCACTCAATTATCACATCATTTTTCCAGCTGCTTGTGGGTGAAGGAACAGCTGAGAAGTCTTGAGAAGTCCACCCAGAGTGCTGCGTTCCTCAGGAAAACCCTGTGGTCTTATTAGATCCAGCAACGCCCAAGCCCTACAGAACATGAGGACAATGAAGGACGGCGAGTCCTTCATTGCCATCATTCACAGAAAATCTCTCATACTTACCAAATCCCGGTGGATAAACTTGTTTCTTTCTAGGTACTGCATTCCTTCGCACACGTCCTGGCACATGCCTAGCAGGACGTCTCTGCTGAGCTTCCCTCGCCTTTGCCGCAGGTAGTTGAGGAGGCAGCCGTTCTCCATGAACTCGGTCACTACGTAGAGAGGCCTGTGGTAGGTGCACACCCCGTAAAGCTGCACCAGCTTTGGGTGGCAGAGGTGCCTGTCAAAAATGTCCCTGTCAGTCAGGCTGTCGTTTGTTACTGGCAAGTCATTAGGGAATTTGGGAAATCAGAAGAAAAGGTGATAGAGTTTCTCAGACGAAGTAGGCAAGTTTAAGATCTGTCAGTGATCTTAGAGACACAGAATTACAGATTCCACTTAACCATCTTAAGAGCAGCTCTCAGCACAGATAGAGCTTTGCAGAGCAAGGTATTACCCATTACAAAAAAAAAAAAAAAAGACTGGCAACAAGTGTATTGAGCATCTGGAGCAATCTGATTTAGACCACAAAAATCAACTTTTCTATATTGCATGTCAAGAGCATTAACAGTCCTTACAGTGTTCTTTGTTTTGTGGGGATAAATATAATTAATCATCTCAGTGTAATCTCTATGTATCATGCAGCTTTTAGACTCACATCATCACTTTGGCCTCCTCAATGAAATCATCTTCAGACATTGCACCTTCATGGATCATTTTGATGGCAACCTTGACAGTTGCTTTCCATTTACCCAGCTGAACTACTCCAAACTGCCCACGTCCAAGCTCCTTCATGAACGTCAGCTCAGAGGGGTTTAATTCCCACTCCTCTACAAAAAGAAACAGACATGTCGTAGCAGTCAGGCCAGCTTCCCTTACCCATGCTCCAGGAGAGAGGATGCCACTAATTCTTACAGCAACACAGCTCTTCCTCTACTGTAATATGGGCCCGGAATATCTGAAGATCTCTGCATGCTCATATATGTTATATATGAAGGGTTTTTTACAGCTCTTTATAGCAAACATCGTCATGTTTGATGTTTTAAACTCTGATCAAGATCCAGAGTAGATTAGTATAGCTTCAGAAATAGTTAACAGTTAATAGTTAAGACTTGTTATTTATAGGAACATTCACGGGATTACAGGTGATTTTGAAGATTCCTGTTTTGTCATATGTATATTCATTAGCCAGATGATATTAACTTCCTGCTGTGGATACACAAAACAAACATATATTAGTTGTTCTTTAATACTGTTTAAGATTTTATTCTTATTTCTAAAACTTGCAGAATCAACAAAGAAAATCTTCCTCAGAAATATTAATTGATTTTTTTTCCAGGCATTTAAATAATTCAGATATCCTTTAAGAGGCCATTAAATGCATATTTGAGTCTTAGGTCTGCTTACAAAATTCCACATAAGAAATGCTCTAGAAGTTATAAAAGAAGCACAACAGGTGCTAACCTGAATGAATCCAGAAGGATGTTCCCTTTGGTACCATCACCTTCCTAGGAAATCAACATTTATTTCCAGTGAACATGAAACTGTTTCTGTGTGYRTTATTAGTGGGAAAATACACCAATSTAATGGTATAATTCACCTGATAAGTGTAATACAATTTCTGAGTAGACCGATTCCTAAACATTCACCAAAACATTATTCAAAATTTACCATAACGAAACCCCGCTGTTGCTGGTGAGGAACATCCCATTGATCCAAYTGGATGCCGGAGACGAGTGATAAGACCTGTAGGAGGCAAAGCAATAATATTCTGTTGACAGATTATCCCATTTTTAACTATGCTGCACAGTATCTGTTCTCAAAAAAGAGCTTGCTCAGAAAAAAAAAATAGCTTGTTTCTCACATTAAGTGATAAATGAGAAGATATTGAGGAAAACTATATTCAATAAGGCCCTAAATACAGTGAGTGAGAGGACGGCCTCTTTTCAGCCTGGCAGATGAGTTACTGTTTAGGGAGACAGGTGCTGTTTTCAAAATGCCACGTAATTGTTTTTATTTATTATTAAGTATTGCTAACAGCTGTATGACAGTGCACCTTGGGGTACCAGCTGAGATCCAGCCAGTCATTGTACCAGTATAYGTGATAAGGCAGTTCCTACCTCAAGGAAACATTATCTAAAATTGTTGATTAGTTCAATAGTTAAYTAAAATTTTCATAGCATTTTACACCCTTGAAAGTGCATTATTATTTAACTATGAACTTTATCCCACTGCAAAAATATACCTCCATACAACCAAAAGTGATACTCTTCCTTATTTCTAGGGTGCTGGTAATTTTATACACCCAGTATCACCCACCGAGGCTTTCTCCTTCAGCAGGATTTTTCAGGTTTATTTCCCATCACAAGAAAAGTTTTGGCCTGTTATGGTTTCCCTTTGAGCTCAGGAGCCAGATGTACCAGTGAAACCATCCCTTGCTGCTTTCCTATGACACCTGGAAGGTTCATTTGGTTGCTACCTGCTTTCCTGCAAGCACAAGGGAGCTGGATGCTTCCTTTATTTCTGAAGCTACTTCTTGCTGCCTACCAAGGGCTCTCTACATCCCTCCATTCTCCCAAGACTTTCAGATCCTTTTTTCTTTCATGGAATTCCTACAGTCCTCCTCTCCCAGGAAAAAGCCTCTATACATTCCTATATCTTCCTTCCTCACCAGTGCTAGGGGCCTCTGCATCTTTTCCCATCTCCCCTCTTTCAGGATAGAAAGATTTTAGACTGTATTCAAATGACAGGCAGAGCCAGGACAAAGGGCTTTTTTAATTTGTTAGACATTATTTAAGGCTGGCATCAGCAACCAAGCAGAGGTGGTTAACTCTGGCAGGCTCTAAATCAGTCTTGCAGAGCCCTTGTGGTCCCCAGTTCTGCCTTTCAACTGTTTGGGGGTTTTGGCAAAATCACCAGCTAGGGCCGAGCGTATTTCCTGTTTTTCTTTAATTGCATGCCTGCAAGTTACTGCGTTTCAGACAAGCAAAGAATTATAATCAAGCTGAACCTAAGTCACATTCAGTCAAGCATGAACCAGCGGCATGAAGAGCAGGTGAAGGTGACRCTCCTAATTCTGTAAAATTCACTTCATTCGTGTGCATCGGCTCGGCAGTTTCACTTCCCGCACGGTATGTGCACCTCGCAGCCACTGCTCTGGCAAGAGACTCACTGCACATTTGAGCTTGTCAGCAACGAGGAAACTTGTGCCTCCTTTTATAAGGAAAGGAATGCAAAAAGTGCTATTTAYGTTCTCTCAAATTCCTAATGATCATCAGCAGTAAAACCATATCAGCTTGGATGTGTTACCTGCAGCATTCTGTTGGTGATATTGGATGAGTTCAGGAATAGATGAGAAGAGATATTTTTCTGCCACATAATACTGTTCCAAGTGGTTTTTCTTAATTTGGTAATGTCGAATGCCTCCTCTATGATTTCTGAAATCAAGAACATCACACAGAATAAAAATATGTAGTGGTTTGATTATATTTTACCTGGAGAGAATGTACAGAAAAATCTAAGTCYTTAAGACACATTTCCCTACTTCAAATGACTTGGTACACTGAYTAAGAAAAAAATTGTCCTTAACTAGATCTCTATCTTTTTATTATTATTTTATCGTGCAAATATTTATTCTTGTATTATTGAATGCACAAAAAATAGTTGTCGCTCTTAATATACATCTCTCCTAAATTAGCACTCATTTGAATCTAAACTTCTAAAATTAACGTACTCTTCACAACCTGAATTTTACAGAGAGCTAAAAACATCTCCACATGTAGTCCAAGATTAGATTTTTCCATTCTGCTTCTCCAAAGGCAAGTGGTGCCTTCAGTGGTACCTTTATCTCCTTTTCTATATTTCTCACCTTTATGACTTCAGTGCTTTCTTCTCGTTTTGCTGCCTGTCTCTCCCTGGTTTTGAGGGCCCAGAAGAAAGCAATGAGGGTCACATTGCAGCTRTAGGTGTTTTTGAAGGCTGGGAAGTATTAGCTGGGTCTAGCAGAGGTTGGGCACATCCCATGCCCAGGAATTTGAGGGAAGATCTGGCTTTGCGTTTTGATTCAACCCACTACCCAACTGAGAGCAAGTCCTACTCACTCTTTAGACCGCGAATACACAGACAGTGTGAGAAGCCCCCGGTGGCTTGAATCTCTGACCACAAATGCTCCTTCTTTGGACTGCAAAGAAATCCACAGAGAGTTATTTTGGGCTTTTTTGCTTGAAGCAAAATCCCTTGCAATAGGCCTTGTATCTGATTACTGGGTCCTGTGGACTGACTACTAAAACAAACTGGCAGCAAACTCTCTTCTGAAATGGTTCACAAAACTAATGAAATCACGGGAAAAATCATCGTCCATGTTGAGGAGGATCTCTACATGTTTACACGTGAGGCAAAGAACATAACCATAAAGAAATACAGAAATATTTGTTACTATACTAACTGAAGCTATTTATTGTAAATTAAAGTTATTAAAATTAGTAGAGGARAATTAGAACCTAGAAAGACTTAATTAGTGCTAACTTAAGAACTTTAATAATGGATARAGGGTGGAATAGCGTATGGACTACTTGCTTTATACATAAAATAATTGCAGGGTGGAAGGTTATTAACTCTGCCACTTTAGTATCTTGCTTATTAGAGAGATTTCAGTCTTCAGTGTTTTGGATAAAAGATAAGCTTAGCAAACAGCATAAAATCCAATTAAACTCATATTGAAGATCTCCTTAGAATTTGCTGGGACTAAAACTTAAAATACTGGGAGGTCTCCATAGTCTACCCTATACATTCACTCCAGAAAGCTGTCCCTTTATTTTAAGGTATTCTCTCTGCCAAACAGATTTGGATTTGATTGCTGAAACATTCTTGGTGCCTCTACTCATAGACCTTTCCAGTTACTGTTAGCTGTGTTAATATGCTGAGTTACCTTCTGCCTTAASAGAAGCTCTGCCTGGCTCCGGTTTACATTTTTGCAGTACCAGCTACAAGAAAGAGAAATCCARTCTTTAACTCCTGATATTCTTAAAAAACAAACAAACAAACAAAAAAAGAGGGCAAGCAATTCCCACCACCACCATCGTTTTCTGTTTAACAGGAGTAATCCTTCTTAATTATTGCACTATTCCTAGTCCAAAAGCCAAATAGAGTTATCATTGCACATAATAATCTCTCACTGGGCAGAATCAGCTTCTAGTCACTTAATTACCTGTTCACAACAGAAAGAGATTATAATATAGAAAGGCTGTGTAGTCGACCCACGCAAATAGGAAACATCTGGATTCTGACATTCTGGTTCATGCAAACGAATCGTTACGGTGTTCAGGGCGGGTTGTACCCCCAGAGCACACGGTGCAGAATGAATTAACCGGTTTGAGTAAAAGAGTAAGGTTTCCACACACACACACAAAAAATAAAGAAGAAAGAAAAAAAAAAAAAAAAAGAGAGAGAGAACTTCTGGTAAAATCTCTGTATCTAATATATCTAACAAAGATGAAAGGATCAAGCTCTACAATGAATCATCCCGTTTTGAGAAAAGAAAGCACAACAATCACGTTCAAGTGCACTTACTCGTAGGTTTCTAAATTGTTTTGCCTGTTCTCAGTTACGTAATTGCTGGGAATTAGACCTTCATTCCTGAAACAAATACATTGAGGATAATGCTATGGTAGGATGCAAACTATTAAGAATTCAGATATACATCTTTTACTGAATTATAGGATTATTTAAGCTATTTTTCTATATCTTCAGATACAGAATCCCAATGCAGGAATTGAATAGAAGKCTAAATCCTTCCACTCCAGGAAAATGTATGAGCCCCACAGCTGGTGACAGTTACTGAAACAAACAGGTCAGCTGGGGGAAGTATTTGCAGAGTGCTTAGAGCAGCATGTTAATTGGAAGTTTCAATTAAAGCCAAAAGAAAATGAAGAAAAAAATATATACTTCTTCTCAATCAGAAGCCAAGCTTCTCAGTTCTAATCTTGGATCTATACAAAGTTTTTATATAAATAAAAATGTGTGCGTGCATGTGTATAAAAAATAGTAATATTTTGGACTCTCACTGCAAATATAAGTTGAGAAAAAGCATTTATAAATATTCCAAAAATGTCTATCTCCAAAATGTCACACATCTCTTGTACCATTACTTGCTTTAACAGGAGTTCATTTTAGTGGATTCTTTTCCCCCTTTCAGTGCAGGAGAATATATTAAAACAGATGCCTTTCTCTTACCCATACTGGTCTCTTGCCTTCCACCAATGGGGGTCATACTTTTCAAGGATGATGTATTCTTCTGACTTCCTGAGTGTTAAATCAGAGGGTCCTCTAGCAAAAAAATCATATAGTGCAATAACTTTGATTTTTTCTGCATAGTCTTCCAAGGCTTCAGGGGGTAAAGGAGGTAACGCCTTCTTCTTAAACTGTTGGACTGCCCGCCTCTTATGCTAGTGAAAGAAAATATATATATATATATTTCATCATTGTCTTTTTTCCTTATTATTTCTCATTTCACCAGTTACTAGTATTATTTTTATTACTAACATTATTTTTTTATTACTAAAAGGAGTAAATCCTGATCATTATTTCTCACTGTGTTATACCATCACTCAGCCACTTACGAGACAGCAAGACCTACATTTGAGTGCTTGAGTATCAGAGCCAAAAGTACGAAGAAAAGCACAACAAGTAATAGGCCAAGTATATATTTACCTTAAGCTTTCTCTGACCGCTGCTCAATGTAAATCCTGGGATAACTCCCTAGTTAGTGCAAATTAGCAGAGTACCACTGAAAAAGGTAACCAGGAATTTGGCTGTTCATCTCAAAAACCAACATGGATGGGAAGGGCACTGCAGACATTGGGAGCAAATCAGCAGAGACGCAACCATCTCCTTTTGTGACAGTTCAGGTTCTGGGTTTGCACTCAGCTGTGCTTTGAAAACTCAGATTAATTCTGCTTGGATCTAGTAAAGCTGAGGGGAATGTGTCACATGGCAGCTGAGCTGAGCCCTTTTCACCTCCCTTGCTCAAATACCCATGGGGTCGAATGGGAACTACCCTGACCGGTGACTACAAGCCAAGTCTCCCAGTGAGGTCAACCAGACTCCAAAACCCACTGTGACCCTCTTTTCACACTCAGTGTAGTTCTTAGAACACCTTTACTTGTATTTTCTGAAGGCAATTACAGGAATACATTCTCAGAGGTTAGTTCTGTACTGGTTCTGGTAGCAGGCCACTGCGTGGCACATCACCTCATGCATTTTTATGCCTTTCAAAGCGTTACTTACCCAGTACTTCCGAGTAGATGTGTAGGCAACTTCTTTCTGTGAGGCCGAGTACTTGGTCACCAGGCCGGTATCTGGGTCCACGTTCATTCTCATGGCTCTAATTTTAAAGAACATGAAATACTTGAGTAAACATATAGATATAAATGTTCATTAAAAAAATTCACATATATTTATATGTGTATGTGTATATCATGTATATATAAGGATGTCTTCATTCATGTTAGGGGTATATAGGGTAGGGCTTATTTTAAACTTCTGCATAATTAGCCACTCTAGTGCAAATGGATCACTGAAAGTCTTCTAGGTGCAAATATTTTGATTCTCTCAATTGCTGAAGAGCTTATGCATTTCACATACCTTTTTTGCACTGTGCAGCAGCAGCAACAGCAGCAGAAAACAGACTGGATGGTGTGATCTGTGAACAGGAATATTTTACACATTTGCAGTGTTCTTGCTAATTTGCTTACATAACTTGCAGAATTAAGGCCTAGGAGGTGTACTTAGCAGTATCATTAGCTCTGTCCCACCACAAAATACTTGGTAAATCATTAAAGCTGAGTTTGCATCTATCTGAGAGAGCAGAGCTTTTCTCCCACCCAGCTACACGTTGCTGCTGTATCCCTTACACTGACCGTAGTAATTAGAAGGCACTGTGATGAATTAAATCAGCTCATGAAATCAGCAAAGAATGGAAAAAAAAAAGAAAAAGAAGAAAAGGAGAATGAATTTTCAGCCAGATCAGTCCTGTTCTGACTGATCACACAGCCATGTACACTCCACCAGTGCAACCAAAGGCAGCGTGACCCTAGACAGGAGATGAACCATCACCTTCAGTGATGACAGGATTTTAGATTACTTAAGCTGAACATAAAGCCACCCTGATAAGAAAAGCGTTTTTTCTTATTTTAAGATTTATTAAAGAAGACACAATTCAACTCTTTGTGTTGCTAGTGATTTTCCTGCTTTTAGTTAAACTACTAACAGAATACGTTCTTTGGCACAGGTTTGAAGTGACCAAAGATGGACTTCTCACCTACATGCCAAAGAGCTGATGAGCTTGAGCAGAAAACCTCAGACATCTGTATACATATATGAGTCAATTCAGGATATATGGTGTGAGTAGCAGGAAAGTTACGATGTTTTCTCAGTTGGTTTTAAGCATGTCAGATGACCTGATTTGAAATAGGTGACTGCATGGTTTGTGGTCACTCTGGTCATGCTATGAGGGTTTCATCCAGCACCTGTAACTATGACTCTATCCCTTTGCACCTGCAGGCTCTTCCCCATCTCCACACGAACCAAGCAGCCGCGAGGCCGCAAGGAAACTGCTCGGAACAGCATAGGGGCCCCAGGGTCGAGACACTTCCAGAGGTGCCTCCTCCAGACACCAGCCCCATCCTCGTCTTGCCTGTGTCCGTCACCCCCAGCCTCAGGGTAGGCTGGCTTCTGTCCCCTCTGTCACCTGGGGCCCTCACCGCAGGAGGTGGCGGCTAAGTGGCTATGGTTGATTTAAGGTCATAAGGTGGCTATGGTTTAACTCTAAGAGATAGTTATATAGAGAAAGGGCTTCCATCATGCCCAGCTGCACCAGTCAAAAACAGTCTTCGTATCCCACACCAGCAAGTCCCGGCCCTTCTCCACCCCTGAGGCTGTAGCACTGGCAGAGGCTTCAGGCCTACACTTGAAACGATCTTCCTGAAGTCTCAGTATTTAGCTGCTTTAGTGTTCACATGATACCTCTTCGTACACTCTGACTAGTGCCTTCCAGTTTGTTTCCCCTCATGGCATTTTGTTTTTGTCTTGTCTTGTTTATCCTAGTGATCAAATCCTCTCTGGTATGATAAATAGGACAGTCTAGCTAGTGACCTATAGTAGTTTCTACCAATGCAACAGCAAAGTGTGTTGAGACTATGAATCCTTGCCCTCAAAGGCCTAACAGTTCTCACTTAAACTGGTGAAAATGGGACGATTTTCTCTATAAATATACACAGAGCATGCAAAAGATCTTGCCCTAATAAAGGAAGAGAGAATGTCAAACAGCAGGAAGATAAGATCAAATTAGTTCTGGGTCGGAAGAGGAAGCGCCCTGTCTCGTACGTGTTTTGGTTTGAGTATTTACCATGAAAGTTGTGGGGCAATTTCGCTTAGAGTGCTGCATCCTGTGAAGCGTCTGCTGTGTGGGAAGCTGGCAAGCCTGCACTAATCAGAAGACAGCATCAACTGCTTGGTAAAAGTTTCCACTGACGGCTATGCAAAACTTGGGGATTACAAATACCCAAGTCAGCTGACACCAACAATTTTCTTTAAAGAAATCAGAGCAGAAGATATAGGCAATGTAATTTATTTGCTGCATATTTTTCTGGGGTCCATTGAACTATTCCTCATTCGTAAAAATTGTATCACCTTAACTTTACCTGTCTCTAGCATGAGTTTACTATTGGGTCTACCTACTTAGATCCTAGATGAAAACAAACTTGGAATGACTGATCATTTCCTTATAGTAAGATGGGAAATATTTCAGTTTTACTAGCATTGTTCTCCCATTCCTAAAGAAAAAGAGAAATTTCAGAGCAAAGTGAAGTCAGGATGCTAAAGAACAAGTGCCTCTAAAGTAGTATTAGTGTCCCGGAAATGTATTGCATGGTGATGTTGGCTTGCAAGAACTGTCCTTCGAGGAAAAGTGCTATTCCAATTTCAGCAGAAAAAGTGTTGTTTAATTTTCAGCATGAATAATTACATACTTGCTTACCAAAATTCCCCAAATACCTTAGGAAGGAATTGTGCTTTTCCCCAACCTAGATTCTTATAGGTTTTATAATAGCTTTTACAATGGCTTCTATGTTCTATAAAAAGCAAACAATGTGGGTGAAAAAAAATCCTGTTTTTCTATTACTTCAGCTATTACCTTGAAGTTTAATCAGTAGTTAGTGCTGTGCCAAAAGGAAGCTGACATGTGCAAGCTCGTCTATTGCTTCTGATTATACCATCTAGTCTAATTAAACATATAATTCCTCCTTAGATGACTCGCTCTCCTTAGGAGAAGACTCGCTGGATATTTTTAGCCCAAGCACTGCAGAGTTTCAATGTTATGTAAGAATGATGTTCTAGTAAGAGCTAAAAGATTTGACTACTACTGTGAAAGTGAGGTTCCTACCTTCAGACTTTGCCATCAGTGACTTTCATGCCTGCTCTTCTAGTGGTTGCTTTTCATATCTGAATGCCCTTTGCTATGCTAAAAGCAATTAGCAATAAATGAACGCATGCAATGATTTTGAAAACATATCAAGCATATATATAAGATTATTTAGCTTCTAGATTAAAGCTGTGATTAGGATGTTTCATGAGACACATGCTTTTTATTTGGCCAGTTATTTTTCCGAGGTTAGAGTGTCTAATGAACCAAAGATCACAAAATGTGGCTGCAGTTGGCAGACTAGAGGTGAAGGCTCAGGTTAGAGTGAAGCTCAGATAGGCCCATCGCGCAGCAAACTCTTGGGCCTGCAGAGAAAGAGAGTTCTGCCAAGTTTGCTCCTCCTGCTTCTTCCTGCTATTTTACACGTCGAACCACTGTCTAGCAATCCAACAAATATCCATCATCCTGAAGGAAGGCACTGGCAGCTCTTGGAAAATCAGCTTCCCCATAGCCATGACTAGCTCCATGTTCTGCAACACAGCTTCCAAAATTCCATTGGCTACGCAGCATTCCTGCAGCAGTGTGCAATTAATTCAGTAGAAATTAAAGATGGAAGAAATTAATGCAGTGCAAGTTGATAATTCCTCTTTGGAAAACCACCAAGTCTCCAGGGAACAGTATCAAGCAACGTACACAGAGAGAGGCCTTCAGTTCTGTGGGGCTAAGAGTTACAGGCCTTGGACTCGGTCCTGCTTCTGAATGCAGAGTGGTTTGCAAATACAGAAATATTGACCTGATAAGCTGGAACAGCAGCATCTTAACAAAAACTGATGCATTGATCAACACATTTTGAGTCACTGGCAGTGACGTTACACTTCTTGAGCAAAATATGTGAAGATTCTTTTTCTCCCTTAATTTAAAATCAATGTTTTTCACTTCCTAGCTCACTACAGAAAAGCTGCTCTGTGACGCTGTTTAGAAAGACTTGGCCAACACTGCAAAAGTTAGAGGCTTTGATGCACCGAATGAGTAACGTGCCAAGCCTGGCTCATATCTTGATCTCCTGCTAGCAGCATAGGAAGATCTTCACGTTCGAGGTGCCTCGAGGTGCCCCAGCAGTGCTGACTGCTTCCTGCCCGGCGCTCCCGTAACCCATCTTGCTTGTCCRTATATTCAAAATGGAAAATACAAACTCATTTTAATGTGAAAAATTCGCTGTCTTTAAAAGTAGAAAGAAGTGGAAAATAAATAAAATTAATGTGCCGTTTTAAATATTTCTTCTTGATTTTCCTTCGTATTATGCCCTAATTCAAATCACTGAAACCATTGCAAAGATTCTTCTTTATTGGTTCCAATTTTGGATCAAGCCCTTTTTCTTTAGCAAAGCCCTATACATCTGTCAAAGATTGTTGGAAGATCATAAATTCAAGCCTTGACCCTCATGCCCCCTACCTTAACAAATCATGATAGCACTTAAAAACTAATGATTGTCGATATCAATGAGAGTTCTGCTTCTGTAAGGAAATCACATCTTGGATCGTGTTTTGGATTCCAGTTTTTGAACAGAACAGAGGCCAAGTGGATTTACCATATTACGAATGAACGACAATGTCTGGACAGGATACTAAAATGAAACAGGTTAACAGAAAGAAATTTTCAGCAACTTTAAATAGYCAATTATTTTCAGGAGTTTCTTAAAATAAAGCAGTTACGGACCCTTTACTTTTTTCAGGTCCTACTTCTCGTATAATCAAAAATTTTCCCAAAAACTTCTGGAAACATTGTTTAAATCTTGCTTATTATTAATCCACAGGCAGGAAGRTTTCCCCAGGGTCCACGGCTGCACTTGGCTCCTCAGCGCACATTTCCCTGACTTCTGTCAAAACATAAGCTACCAAAACACATTTAGCTTTAATCCTCAGCAGGTGTAAATCATTAAAAAAAATTAGCTTAGAATATATGCGAGATTGTTGGAGCCTCATATATGTAAGCCTTGACACCTTGGTCCCTACTTTACCAAGACTTCCTTCTTTAGTGGTGTGAAGAATCTCCCTTTCTCCAATACCTGAGGAAAGCTTGTGAGATCAAAGTTCAAATAGTTCAGACAGAGAATTCACAAAGTAAAGTGTAGCCAACTTCATCGCTCTTGCCTTTTCTTTTCCAGAAATGCCTTTAGTAGGAGGAAAACACTTTTTTTAAAAAATAGTAACATATTATCTCTCTGGACTGATAAACAAATACATATACCAACTCTACTATATATCCAAAGGCAGATTAGCCTATAGAATTATGATGCCCAAACCTAGACTTCTTACATGCACCGTTTTGGAAAGAGAGAAAAAGATACCAAGAGAAACATGAGGAATATGTGGAAATTATAGAACTTGATTCTCAGTCAAATATCTGTTAAAAACTTGCAGCTAACTTTTTAACAAATTATGTAAAACAATGAAGTTCCACAACACCTAAAACCTAGCAGCAGGGTTTGGGTTGTTATAGCTGCATATAGGGCTAGTTCCTATCCCCAATTATAATTCACTTTGTTTACCAGTATTTGGGACGCAGCACCAAAGGGCTAGACAAAAGCAAAAAGTTTAGTTAGAACTGAATTTTTATAATTTCCTTTTTATAATTTTACTACTTCACAAGCTTCCTAGATTGAGTTTCTTTTTTTCTGATTCACTGTTTCCCAAAGCATTGCTAATTTTGAAAGTGTTTTAGTCCAGTTCTAAGACATGCGTTTTCATGCCATGTTCTGCACAAAGTTCTTGCTCTTGCACAGCAGGTAGGTTAATTGTACGCAAAGACACTTTGCAAAATACTCAAACTTAATTTTCCCCATCAAAAACAAATAACAACACACAATATGCTTCCGGAACAGGTAGGTCTGACAATTTTTTGCAATACCAGAAGACCAATGATCAACCAGAAATCAATAGTTTGCTTCTAAAATACTTTAAAATACAAACTTCAAGCTTTTTACACGTGGAAGTTCAGGCATTCTTCACTTTCCCAGAAGTTCATTCTGTGCTGTAGGAAAGTAGGCTCAATACTTGTCTATAATCACTCATATCGTAGTAATTCTGCAGTTAGATTTGCAGTTAGATTAGTCAGTAACTCTGATGCCAGTAATTCTGAAAGTCAAGACAAGCAATCTGAACACAGATCATCTAACTCGCACGAGAGATTGCTGCTTGGTACTTTCATGGCAATTTTTCATAGGTAGCTAACTGCACAAAATTGCTGCACAAAACAAAACTTCAAAGATCAAAATGTTGTGACTCAGTTTACTTACAGGTAGAGAGAATCATGTCAGGCTGTCTGCTCACAATCAGATGGAAATGCAGTCCTTAATCCTTCGGTCGTCGGGGGTGCCAGTAACAACACCCCTGGCTGAGCTCTTAGCTCTGATACGAAGCACGGTATAATGGTAGAACACAAACACGGCTTGGCCCCACCTACCTWCCTTCCTTAAAAAACACAAGCAGATACTAATCTCATCTCTGTTAAAAAAAAAAAAAAAAAGAAACTTTCTAGTATTAAGCTCATGTTTTACAGAAATCAGGAGAGCTAAGCAGTAATTCAAAATCAAGTAAAGTTTAAAATTTCAAGGGGTCTTTGAGGACACTCAAAGAGTCAGTAAAAGAATTAAGTACAGAGCTTATCTGATCTTTTGCAAAATTTACCATCTGGGACTAGATGCATTAAAAAATGCATTAATTCATTAGCTAGGTGGCTCTGAGTACCTGGAAAGCATTTCTTCAGACAAGAGGCCTTCTCTCCTTTGAAAGGAAGTCCCTCTGGAAGGGCTTGGAAAAAGCAGTGGAGGGATGCAAGCACCTCCRAAAGTGATTACAGACATACTGAAATGGAGCAGTGCTGGACCGCACTGAGCTAACTACAGGCCACTTTAATAACCTGTTTTGAAATAGGCCTGACCACACACTTCTTCACATGAAAAACCCTTGTTGCAAAAYGACAACCCATTCTCCGTCACACAGAGCAGTCAGGGGCACCAGTAATTAAAAACAGATAAGCCCRCAACAAAAATAAGAAAACATAGTCAGAAGGTGAGTATAGCAAAACTGAAGCACATATACCCCTCACATCTGTAGGTATAATATAGTCAGGCTAATTTAAAGCCTCACTGAAGTCTGTTTAATCTCCAGCAGATGGGAAAAGACAAGGAACCTCTAAAAAGTAGCTCAGCCATTTCTGTGGTAAACATCTGACCACATAAATATATATTCACATTATTATACATAATGTATGCATATAYGTCAGTATTATGAGCATATGTATATATACAGATATATACATACATATATATGCATAGACATACACATCCTCATAATACTAATGAACAGTGAGTTTGGCTGATGAAGCAATGTCTGTCAGTAAATTATTTGCAAAACATTATTCCAAACAGCAGTTAATATTTAGTTTATTTACACATACAACACACACACATACTATGACATTTTCTGTTAAGAACAGAAAGGTGAGATCATTGCACATACAGGTAACAGAGACAGAAAAAGGATATCTCCTTTAACRCATATACGGGGTGTAATTTCTTTCATTTATAGTCTCATATATTGAGTTCCATAAGTAAGCTAAGGATGAACAAACTCATGCTTGGAAACTTCAAGAGAACACTCATTTTATATAAATAAACGTAGAGAATTTATATATTTACAATACATACAGCATATAAATTATAATTAATCAAAAACAAGGTATTATACTACACTGACAGCAGCTTGTGCTGAATCTTGGATTTATTTTTCCTAAGTAACGATTGGACTCGTCTTGGAAGGTCTTTGGTTTATGAGAGGTCTTAGGTGGTCTCGACATTTTACAAGGCGTGCAAAGGAAAAAGGCAGGTTTTGAGTTCTTGATAAGGCACAGATCCACCATCTGAGAAAAACAATGTTTCTGGAGAATCTCTGGAAACACTTCAGTGTCAGTAACTAACAATTAATAGATACCTTCAAATTTAAAGCATACAAATCACTACTGATACCACCATTTCTACTGTCTGGGCAAAGAGAAACTCAGAAACATGGACTGTAGATATATAAGCACAACCCAGCAAATGCAAACTAGGCTCTTAGCCTTTGGTCACATTCTCTCTTTTTCTCCATAGAGAGCTCAGCTTGTCCTTTATGCAATGCTGATTTTTCAGAAAAAAATATAGGAACTGCTCCTATTGAAGGCACTGTGCACATTTCCCAGCACCGTGTATAACTCCCAAGTATAACTAAGTGCAGCAAGTGTCACAGGTTCCCCACACGCTCACAACACCCAGCAGCTTAAGCCTTTAAAACAGAAACAAGGCTACAGGTCTTGCATGTGGCTCCTCTCCAGTACTTGGGCTGCTCTTTCTCTTTCAGAAAGCTTCTTCCCCCTCAGCAATGTCAATGATGATGTGAAGCAAGTCTTCAAAAGTAGGCCGTGCCTCTGGTTTCTGCAAACAAAAGCATGCCCCATTGTTATCACCACGTACTAAAGTTATGTCAATTTTGGTAAATTCTTGGTTTTGATATCAAGATGATCATTGCGTATATGGTAAGTGTGATGTGGAAAAAATATTTCTTTGTGCTGGTTTTGAATKTATTATTGCAATTAAGTTTCACATTATTATTTGACTGGACAAACTGAAATGGTGTTGCTGGACGACAGACTTCACAYGACTCGTTTCTTCACATTCTGCTGTTCCTTTCCATTTTTCTCCCTAATTTCCCACCCCTAGTAAATTGTCACAGCCTTTCTTCATGCAAACTGCTCACAGGCCTAAGCATTTTGAGTGCCCAGCTCTGAAGTCTCTTACTTCAATGCTTATTTTATGGACTGAGAAAGCAGACCACTACATAGATTAATGTAGCAGCATTATTCTATTACTCTTTTTCTTTTTCCCATATCCTTCCATGGGTGTCGTAACATCCTCTTTGCTTCATTTAATGGAGCCGCTTCGCTGACGTAGTCTCGTAGCTGACCTCACTGCCTGTTGATTGTGCTTTGAATGTCTGTGTAACCTGCACTTTTCCTCCATTTAACAACTTAATTTATAATATCTTCTAAAATTTGATGCTTCGGTATCCATTTGCATTTTCAAGTTACTAATAAATTGATTAGCCAAGGTTTAAGGCACCTATAGTTAACCATATTTTATGATAGGTTGAATATATTACTACTGTTTGTGTCATATTTGATATTYGCAAAATGACTTTACATTACTAATAATCCCTGATGAAATTAATGAACTTTTAATCAATTCATTAATGCTCACATAAATTCTATAAATAATTACCAATATTCAAAAAATCTTAACAAAGAGCTTATCATGATATGATTATTATGAGGTGATTTATTATTTCATTTTGAAGGCCAGTCCAAGCAGGTTATACAAACAAAATTTAATGGCTTGAAATTTCTTGGTTCCTGTGAATGGCCTTTTTAAGCTATATATGTGTTTGTAATTCTGCAGCCCTCCAAARATAGTTGTTTTATTTTTTTCCTTGCTTCATAAACCAGCACTCTGTAAGCTTTACATATTCATCAGTTGGTTTGGTGACTAATTACTCTTTGTTCTGACAACTTCTCCACTACAAGTATCAAAGAGTATGCCAGCTTTATTCTGGGAAAGARCACTCTCTCCTAAGCATCTCCAGGGCAAAGACCAACTAAAAATAAATGAATGACTTGGCTCTTTCAATTTCCGGTTTTCTTGATTGTGTTCTCCAAAATTAGAGGCATATAATTATATAAACCTACATTTTAATAGATGTCTTGCTTTAATACTGAAGAAAAAAAGTTTCATACTAATTGATRCTTCAAGTATTAAATTTGCTTTTCCTGCCCCTTTACATCTTTGAAAGCTGAACAGTCAATATTCTTCTGGATCAAGAGGATCAGTAGTACAGTCCATTTTTAATCTTTCTTTGGTAATCTTCAGATTTACCTGCTGAGGTTCAACAGTATCCTAATCTGCATTTTMTATATAATTTATATTTGGGCAGAGCAGCATTCCTTTAGAAATATTTTTTGATCATTCTGACACATTTCTACAACGACTAACAAGCTGAGGCAGCACAGAATTAAGACTTCCACTTTGAGGCACTCTGAAACAGTTTTGCTAGAAATATTTACACCCAGCCCCAACGAGCGACACCGGGAAGCCTGGAAGCATCCGTACGGATGAGCTCCGTCCTGCAGCCTGGCTGGCAGTGCCAGAGGTCGGGAGGAGATGGACGAGGGGGAGCAGCGTGTCTCCCGGCGGCAGCGCGGAGCGGCGCTGCGTTCAGCTGCCTGGGCACTGCCCATCTGATCCATGCCACGGACAGTAACACGGCCTCGTCAGAGCAGGGCTCTCTCTGAGTTCATTAGCTTGAATTCGGGATTATCCAGGACAGATCTCTGCATTTAAGTGGTGCTGCTACGTTCGACACTCCAGGCAACTCCTCCAAAGCCCTCGGTGTCATAACAGAGCCACAATGCCCTACTTCTCCCTGCCCTCCCTGCATCCATTCAGAGCTTATCCGGGCAGGCACAAAGTCCTAGAAAATCCCGAGGGAAAGAGGAGGCCTCCTCTGTACCGAGGATCCTGGTTCAGGGGGAAGAATGAGGTGGGCAGTGCTTCCCCTTCCCCATATCCTCCTTCCCTAATGCCTCAGAACTTTGTTTCTGGAAATATAGAGACCCTTGTCATGGAGGTGCCTTCCAAAGCTGTCCCATAGGTGTTATTAAATCTCATGTGTCATTAAACCTTGACTCTCTGCCTTTTCTCTTCATCTGCATCTAGTTTTGTGTGTAGAACCTGTGATCAGTAACCTCCCCACTCTGTTCTTTCCATGTAGGACAGATATTAGTGACTAAATCAAACTCATTCTCCCACTGACCTGACTGAAGAACAATCCTTCAATATTCCTTTTTATTTTTGTTAAATGAAGCAAATTCAGACCTTTTCCATCATCTGTGAATAGCTGTGAACATTCAGCTCTGTCCTACTTCCCATCTATTGTCTCCCATCTTTTATGCACAATCAATACTGGATCAGAAGCCACATTTCTTTCTTTGTGCTCCTTTTCATCTCTTTCTTGAACAGCCTATTTATGGAGAATATCCTGGTCATTTTTGTTCCATTTCCAATAGCTCCAACAACAAATACTCCCTCGGGAAGCAGGGGTCCAGAGACCCCTGAGCACAGGGCCTGAGACACAGACAGGATACTGGAGATTAATTTTTATTGCTAGACTGAGCTCTTGTCAATTCAAAGGCAAAAAATAAGAAAAAACACCTACCTCCTGCCAGCACATCATCATGACATCATACACCAGCTTGCAGGCTAGTTTGGGCCGATATAAACGATGTCCTTGGCTAACCATAGTTACCACTTCATAATTGGAGCTTTTTTCAAAGGGCATTTTTCCTTCTGTAAACACTTCCCACATAAAAACACCTAAAAAGTGAAAATAAACATTAAGAAAATAAACAAAAATATTTCCCTAAAATAAATATGCACTTCAATTTCTAGGCACAAATTTTCTGATAAGGAGTTTCTCAGAGACCTACATTCTAGAAAGTATTTAAATGTGGCTGAAGAAATCTTACTTTACTGTCATGAATTTAAAAAAAAAGTTTCACAACCTCCGTGGAAATTTATGCAGGCATAAATCTATGGCAAATGGTTTCACTGAGCTGCTTCTAAGAMCTCTGAAGCCTTAAAAATTAGAGTTTATCTATTAATAATCTAAAAATGTTGTATTTCAATGAGAAGCATCTTACCAAATGACCAGACATCTGATTTGCTGCTGAATCGGCTGTAATTAAAAACTTCTGGGGGACACCACTTCACAGGGAACTTGGCCCCTGAAGAGCTTGTGTATTGATCATCCAGGACATACCTAAAAAACAAAAACAAGGGTTCTTCAGTCATCCTCCAAACGTGCAGACTACAGTTCAGCTCAGATCTGAATACTAGGTACTCATATTGCCACCGTGTGGTCATCACTGTTAGTACCACACAATAAAGATTTCCTCAGAGGAGTATTGAAGTTTCAGATAAGAGACAATTAATTTTTCCTATTAACCAAAAGGGAAGATTCTGAGTAATTAACTAATTGACACAGATCTAGGCCACACACAACCCAAATTTCTATTTATGCTAAAGGTAAAATGTAATTAAGCTTTCATTTTCAGTTTAAAGTTAAGTGTATGCTAAAGGTAAAATGTAATTAAGCTTTCATTTTCAGTTTAATTACGTTTAACAAATGATGCAGCACCCAACCCAGGCAGGATCAATCAGGGTCAACAAGAGCAGGATATCAAACCCTCCTCAGTTCTCAGCACCTCACAGGGTCTTGGTTAATGGGATGCAGCTCTGAAGCATCTCTGAGAAGAGGATCCTACTGCACTGAGGAGCCTATTTCCAACTTTTAACTGCCAAAATACACATCGACAATTGACATTTCTTGAACCCAAACTCTACTATCCAAGAAATAGATTCCTGTATCATCAAGAAATTACAATTTATAAAGTCATTACAGCACTTACAGCAAATTTGTAATAGAAGACCAATCAAACCAGGGAATCAAATTTAGGTATTTCATGGTAAAAGCTAGACATATCTCATGTTGTACAGAATTAGCTACCATGTTTTACTTTTTCACACTCAAAAAGAATGAAGAAATAGATCCCTGACAAACAAATGGAATACTACTTGAAGGCAATGAGGGAAGGGAAAGGAAAAAAAATGCCTGTAATTGTACCAGACACTTGTTCTCTCACAGAACAGTGCAAGGGCTATGAGACTTCTCCCCATATCACTGCAAGTATGTTGGTATTCTTACATACTCATGGCCATACCTTGTCATGCCAAAATCAGACACTTTGACCACTCCTGAATCATTCACTAAGCAGTTTCTGGCAGCCTACAAAGGAATAGTTAGATTTGGATTAGAACTTGCCATCTCTTTCAGACAAGCTGCAACTGTTCAGTGAGGACTTTGTCCTCATTCTTTAGAAAGTTAACCGACTTACCAAATTCAATGAGGTAATCTCTTTATAATCCAGATTAAAAAGAACATGTATATCTGCTCTTAGTGCTATTACTATGACAACTGAAAACTTTTCCAAAAATAAAATAAAAAACAAAGTCAGGAAAAATCATCTCAGAGGATTAATGAGTGGTGGAAAAGGGACCAATATGGAATAAAGATATGCTGGGATTTCGGCAGAAACAGCTACTGATTCTTCGTAAACATTTTAAAGAGATTTTACTCCATTTTGTAGGTAGAAATAAATGTCTGAACTTTCTCGCTTTCTCTGAACAGGGCAACTTTAGACTTTTCATTGGAGGCTGAAGAGTTGACTTAGCAGCTTTTATTTTGCAGGGAATTAACTGCTGTATTTACAAGCAGGTGGTTTCAGCAAGGAATAGAGGTGTTTAAAACCCCACGTTTCAAAAAGCCCTCGTGGCCAAGAAGGCCAATGGGATCCTGGCTGCATCAGGAGGAGTGTTGCCAGCAGGTCAAGGGAAGGGATCCTGCCCCTCTACTCAGCTCTGGTGAGGCTGCACCTGGAATACTGGGGGCAGTTCTGGGCTCCCCAGTATAACAGGGACATGGAGCTTCTAGAGAGATTCAGCAAAGGGCAACAAAGATGATTAAGGGACTGGAGCATCTATTGTACTAGGAAAGACTGAGTTGGGCCTGTTTTCCCTGGAGAAGGCTGAGAGGGGATCTGATTAACGTGTATAAATACATGAAGGGGGAATGTAGGGAGGAAGGGGCCAAGCTCTTCTCAGTGGTGGCCAGTGATAGGATAAGGGGCAATGGGTGTAAATTGAAACACAGGAAGTGTGCATCTCCATATGAGGAAGAATTTCTTTACTGTGAGGGTGACAGAGCCCTGGAACAGGCTGCCCAGGGAGGTTGTAGAGTCTCCTTCTCTGGAGATCTTCAAAACCCACATGGAAGCCACCCTGTGCCATTTGCTCTAGGTGCCCCTGCTGGAGCAGGGGGTTGGGCTAGATGATCTCTAGAGGCCCCTTCCAACTTTAAGCATTCTGGGATCATGTGATATTGCACAGTGGGAGGTTACCAGGTCCCTGTGGATGAAGCCATTCCTCTCCAAGTACTCCATTCCCTCACACACATCTTGGCACATGGTCAGCAGGATGTCTTTGCTCAACAGCCCGCGTTTTTGCCGCAGGTAGTTCAGCAGGCAGCCGTGCTCCATGAATTCGGTCACTATGTATATAGGTCTCTGCTGGGTGCACACGCCGTACAGCTGAACTAATTTAGGATGTGTTAATTTCCTGAAAAGATTGAAATCATGTAGTTATTACTGCTTCCTCCACCCACTGCTAGCTTCCCACCCACATGATACTGTAAAAACCCCATCTGCCTCTGGTGCCTTATCAATACACACTGCATCACCAGCCTGGGACTAACAGAGTGCAGCAACTCACATCATCACTTTAGCTTCCTCAATGAAGTCCTCTTCATACATGGCACCTTCCCGAATTGCCTTGATGGCCACTTTGTACTGGGCCCGCCACTTGCCCAGGCGCACGACGCCAAAGAGACCGCTCCCCAGCTCCCTCATGAAGGTCAGCTCGGACGGATTAATTTCCCATTTCTCTGTAAAATCRATCAAAAACCAATGACTTTTCCTAGAGAGCATATTGAGTTTATAGGGATGTGGAGGAGGAAAGAGAAATGCTAGAGTATTAGCAAGTTACAGAAATTAGGGAGAATTTTCATTTTAATTCGAAAACATAGCACTTTTGTACTTTAAAAAACAAGCAGAAGTCATTAGGTAGACACAACCAATAAGCGGTTGCTGACCAACACAAAAGGCAAAAAGCAAACTTTCTGAAGCCAGTATTTGCATACTGGTGTTATCAGACTTGATTCAATGGGCTATGATATAAAATTGTGCCAGTGCAGAGAAATTATTCATGTCATTTCATGTCTCGTGCTTAAAATGGATTATTCTGCATTGACAGAGTAATCAATCCATGGACAAAGACCAAAGGGCAAGCTGAAGAAAGAACAGCTTATGAAAGAGCAATGGCCCAACTCAGTAACCACACAGAGCTCATGGTGTCCACAGAACTTTTAGAAAAAAACATAGAAAATATTGCAAAAACTCACATATACAAAGTTATTCATGAAGTTATATGCAGATTAATGTAAAAACACACAATTACCATAGCTGAAACCTGCAGTTGTTGGTGCTGTCCTCATTTTTGGAGTCACTGGGTAGCGCAGCCTGGTAACAAGACCTGAATTTCAAAGATAATTCATCAAGGAACATTAGGCAGCAAATCATCCCCTTCTTTACTGCACCAACAATAAGCTTATATACAGATTTAGCTTTGACTTCTTTCTGCTATTGCATTGCTTTGACTGTTCAAAATGCTTATCAGAGATACAAAGGAACTACCTGTTGGGCTAAATTGCTGCATCACCTTTACTGGTGAGAGATGGATATATTCATACACATTTATGCATTACAGTTAAGCTRGATGCAAAAATAATTGTTGAGCAGAGACTGCACCTTTCATATACCAGAAAGWCCACCTAAAATGTATATTAACACTGTTACTGTAGACTGTTTTTGATTCGTACGCATAAATCCCACCAGTTTCACAAGGTGATTTTATATATACACAAAAGTGCTACACACTACTTCTGTTAAAATCCTGTCAGAACTCAAGTAAGAAGCAGAGTTAAGAGAATGTAGCTATTAAAAGTAGTAAAAATAGCTAAATAAATGAGAAGCAGAGTTATGTTTTGGAAAAGATTTTTCAGAAAGGGAAACACCTACACAAGTGATAAAATAAACCTGCCCCAGAATATTACGAGGAGATGCCTGGTCATCCAAACTGAATACAAGAATCTTCAAAATATATCTCATGAGGGAAATTCAAGCATAGAACTTGAAAAAATGTTAGTATCTGCACCTTGAACCAGATTCTGCTGTAGCTGACAAGTAGATTCTGGCTATAAGGCCTAGGGAACGTAACCTTAACGTCAAAGGGATTCCTAAACTCTCCCTATTTTATCACAGGGTGCATGACAGCACCAGCTGTCAACAAAAGATCTGAAGCATCTAAGAATTACAAGGACAACTCCAGGGATTTCCTGGACAATGTTTTACTGTTCTTCTTTTTGGTTCCTTACGTGTGGGCTAAATTGTGCTGAATGGTAATGCACACCAAAATTAAGTTAGGGCTTGGAGAGCGCTCTGGGAAGTACTATCCCAGTGCATCTGCTGGGCGTCATAGGCTGTAACTGGAAACATGATGCTCAGTTCAGGGAATGTGTTTTTTCCCCTGCCTGGCTTGATGCAGCTCTGTTTTCATTATTCTGGAGACAAGGGTGCACTGAAAGGCAACAGGACTGTCCAAAATGGGTTTTTTTGCCACTTTTGCAGCTTCACCCTAGATTGGGCTAGGCTCATCTCATAGCCAGAAAAAAAAGTATATAGCTCACTAAGTAGCAAACAAATACAGGAATTCAGATGAACAATACATAGAATGTAATAGTGAGCCGTGAAGAAAACACTACCTGTCTTCATAAAGCCAGGGGCTTCAGATCCTTTTTGCTCCTGTTCATCCACTAGACTATGCTAATAACAAGATCAATAAGTATACATCCATATATGTGTGTGCCTATGTATGTATGTATATATAGGGAGTGAATATATAGTAGTATTGTAAATGTACACAGAGTATTATACTAAATATATATAAAAATGTATTTTGAAAGGAAGAACCACCTACATAAACCTTAAAACCGTAACACACTTTTTGAAATCCACCCTGACAAGAAAATCAGATTCTTTTACCTGCTGCATTATGCTTATGATACTCAATTATTTCWGGAATGGAGTTAAAAAGATGCTTTTCTGCGAGGTAGAACTGTTTTGGTGATGTCACTGTTTCTTTTATATGGTAGTGTCTTATTCCTGATGAGCCTTCTCTAGAAAAAAAATAAATAAATAGTAATAAAAAAGTAGAAGTACAATCCCAATTCTTGTGAGTTGAAAAAAGGAAGTATATTGACTTAAAAAGCACAGTTTAATACAGAGACAACRTACAAAACACACTGAACAACTTTCACACCTGAAGCACTGCACAAATGCAGGGGAGATCAAATAGGTCCCTCACACAAGCCCTCCCACCACAGCCATGGCAGGATGCTGCCACTCCACTTCCCAAGTGGAAAAGCTGGCACCGGTCACCGGCACTAGCAGCAGGGCAGCGGGGCCCAGTTTGGCCAGAGCGACAAGGAGCAGCTGGGATGCAGCCCTTGGGGAAGGGGCGCAGGGCTTTTCACACCAGTGAGCGTGCAGGGCTGCCTCACGTGCAGCACTTGAGCGAGGGCTTGAATTTCGGGCACACTGCGTGTTTGCTGTTCACGCTTGTTTCAATAACCTGGTCAGGTTGAAGATTAACCAATAAAAGGTTAATTTTCAGCCAGAGGAGTTCGCCTCACCACACACCCACACAAACACGTAGGCTGGTGTGATGGCAAAGAATGAACGGCACAGGAAAGCCAGCTTTCTCCTGGGGGCAGTTTGCATTTATCTTAGATTAAGGCAACTGTGGTCTATCCCTGGAATACAGAAGCTGATTTTAAATTTTAGTTAACCTTTTTTTTTTAATTTTGGTTTTTTTGTTGTTGTTGTTTTTAAATATCAGCACTCACTTCTTTCTTGAATTTGCACTCAGGTTTTCCTCAAGCCTATACGTCCAAATGCAAATGCAAATCAATTCAAACAAGATAAGATTGTACAGAGTCRCCACAAATAATAAAAAAACCCTTACCCTCCAAATTTTGTATAAAGGGAAACCGTATACAAGCCTGGCTGACTTGAGTCTCTCACCACAAAACCACCTTCTTTGTCCTAAAATGCAAGCACAATAAGTTTCATGCCACAAACAATTTTAAGCTGTGYGTCTTTTCTAATGAAGTTGTGATTTGCATGTGCTAAAATTAAACTTGAATAGAAGACTAAATCCTATGATTGCTAATACAATGGTACAGAACTCACCTCATTTCTAAGGAGTTGCTCTGCTTTGCTTCTGTTCAGATTTCTGCTGTACCACCTGCAATACAACATCACTATGTTATCAAAAATAGTGATCAAAATCAGAAATACCTCCAAGGTATTTGATTTCCTTATGCAAAATGCTTAAAGCAAAGTGCTATACAGTTGCAGATTCAATAATTTGATGGTGCAGAAGGTCAAGAACTGAACCAACCAARAGCCCATTTACAAAATAAGTCTATCATGTTGCACAGCTTAGCCATAAGAATGCTTTAAAAAATCCAGTCAGATCCCACAGAAGTCAACAAAATACAGGTGAAAGCTCATTTTTTTCCAAGAAAAATACTTTTAAAATATAAGCACACTGATAGCAGCTGTTTCTCTSAACAGCAGCCTCAGAGCAGACTGGCAATCTCAAGTAAGTTCTGTGTTACCTGCCAAGATACCTGTAGAGCTGATTGCTAGACTTTCATTTAATTCAGTAACTTCACGACTAGTTTAGCTTTTCAAGGGAGGATTGGCCAACTAAAGTGCAAGTAAAAAGTGAACTAAATATCACAGTTGCACAACCTGGGCTCCAAGCTGCAAAGCCAGGTTAAAGCAGCCAAGGAACCACTGAAATTTCTGCTAACTGCAGTACATAATAACAAAAAAGAAGAAGAAAAATAACCACAGAGCCAACAAGTGGTGTGGTGCAATATTTTGAGCTTTCCTGATAAAAGTGGTAAAAGGCCTAGGGATGTGGTATAGAAGCCCCCACAGCAGTTCTGCTCTTACAGAGTTAGTGGTTTTCTGCAGTTCATAGATGACTTGGAGTAATCCCTCCCTGGACTCCTCAGTGACTCAAGATGATGTCACCAAGGTGGCAGGGCACAAAGTGGCCGGACCAGATAAGGCAGCCCAGTTCCTTCCTTTCTTTTCTACCAGCTTCACAGCACAGCCCAGAGCAGGGCAGGGCTCCCAACAGCAAACTCCAAGATGAATGTGTAACAAAGAGTAGGCAATATCCTCTGAAAAAGCTGAAGGCAAAATTCCAGAAGAAACTACCTTCTGCCAAAACACTGAAGTAGGAGCCATACATAGAGCAGAGTTTTAGAACTATTAGTAGTGTTTTATAAACTGTTTTAAATTTTTTTTCCTCTTAAGTTCGTTTTACTTAAGAGTCAGGAAATATGTCCTAAGTATCTAGTTCACATTATGCTGAAATTAGAGCATCAAAACCAATAGGTTTGGAGAATGGAGTGTTACATATTTTGATGTTCTTAACCAACTGCACCATAATTAAACACCAGTTTGTTGGGGCAATTAAAGAACAAAAATAAGCTTTCTATTTCTAGTTGATGAACTGCATGCATATACTGAGACTTAAAGTGCCTTGAATGATGTATTTTGTTGAAAATTAAACTTGCCTTCCAAAATCCCTGATCTCTTATGCTTATTTTTTGCAAGTCTCAATGTTTTCTACTATGTCACTGCCACACACTTCAGTCAGCTCTGCCACTCTCATTAAAAAACATTTAGCACATTTCTAATATGTAAAATTCCTTTAAAATTCCCATAGTCTATCATATAGTACAATGACAGCATTCATTTCTTTCACTGTTAATAGCCTGACTGCCATCTCATTGCATTCCAAATTAAACCTCAAAACAGGTCAGGAGAATCAGAACAAGAAAAATGTGCATATTTCAAATATTTAACTTTAATCATGACCGATGTTACACTGTGCGAATAACTGCTTTTGATCTTCAAAAATATTTTGAAGTTCTTGAGGCATAGCATTTACTCTGCGCTCTTCTGCATTTAAATTAAAAATTCACTTACTCATATTGATCAAGGTTGTTGGACTTCTTTCCGGTTACATAGTTGCTTGGAATATAGCCTTGATTTCTAGAAGAATATAGGATTTGAATAAGGTTACAAAATTGTATGCCTAGAAAGTAATCCTTTATCCTGTTAATTGCCAGAGGTCTTTAGCAGTCATTGACTTTATTACAGACCCACTCTACGACTCATTACCCAGAAACACATTTTCCTCAATTAACTTTTGCTGCCCCTAAAGAAGTTAAAGTTGGGCTCTCAATGATAATGAGCAGAAGAGTCAGAACAAGCATCATGGCTTTACTGTCACTTCTGCTCCTGAATGAACCAGCCAGTCCCTGAGAGCACATTTTGGGACTGCCACAGCAGCCCCATGTGTGTGTAATAACTGAAAACTTCTCCTAGCATTTTGCAAGGTTGCCCAAATAAATAGTGAAGCAGAGAAGCTCTCACTTTTAAATAGGAGGGAAAGTAAAAGTTGTAGAAGGTCAAAGTTGGGCACTGAAGTGGCAAGCATCTCACTGGAATTCTTGAGGAGCACATTTGAGTCTCACCCTCATTCAGAGACTACCCCTAACGATCCAGCTATTAAGATGATCACTTAYGCCTGAAAGCCAGAACCTGCTGATCTGAATGCTAACCATATTGCTCCCTGAGGAGCCATTTTCCAGTCAGGCAGGAATATTTTGTCWCTGTAGCTAGGTATCACAGCCCTTTAACCAGGAAACCATAAAAGTCTGACAGGAAACATAACTGCAAAAGCTTCCAATTCTGCAAAGGTCTATGCAGGCAAACTCTGCAATTTATTGGCAGTTTCATTTTTTTCCAAATGGGACTCTATTTGAGCACAAAGATATGGATCAAATTTCAGCATTGGGAGCCCAAATGGGATCTAACAGAGTTAGCTTTTGACACAATCAATAAAAATGACTATGATGTGGAAATAACCTTATTCAAACTTAATTCAATGCAGAAAATTAGGAATCAATATTTACCCGTATTTATCTCTTGCCTTCCACCAGTGAATGTCATTTTTTTCAATTATCATATACTCTTCACCCTTCTCTAATCTTAAATCATGATGTTCTGTAGGCTGGAAGTCATACATCGCCACCACTACATCTTCCTCTTCTGTGTCATTTTCTTCTGGGGGAGCTGGGGGCGGAGGCCTTCGCTGAAAACAGAACTGCGGTTACTCCATTCTGCTTGCAGTCCCACCCTTCTTGTTACACCAGTGCAAAGAACCAGTTGAACCTCCTGAAGGCAAAATCTGGCCAGCTCTGGTAGCTCAGGAGGGAGTTCAGGTTGCCCTGTGTCCCCATCAGCAGTGGGAGAGGATTTGGGGCCATGAGGACTGGCCATCACRACATCCCCCAGCCACATCCAGTCCCAAAGTTGTGTGTGCTTTCTAAGGTCCCCATCCCACCGAGGGCGCACACACACAATTAATAAGTCCAGTCCAGTTTGCAGGATTGGATTTTTATTTATATTTTTTAAAACTGTGGACTTCAAATCAAGCTCAACACCTAATGATGCTCGCAGGAATGAACCTCTGCTGTAAGGCTAGGGTCACAATAAATCCAAACGCTACCTCAAGAAACAGCAACTGAATATTTGACATTTTTAAAGACTCTACCTACCCTACTTTGTTCTGGCATTGGAGAGGGTGCTTTCCTTATACCTAGAAATAGAGCGCAGAAAAGGATTTGCATCTGTTAATTCATTGATAAATTTAAAAAAAAAGATTTAGAATTCAAGTAAGATTTCAGCATCTCAGAAAGTTATTCTGTTTTTATTGTCAGGTGCAACAGCAATTTTGAATATTTTTAGAATACTTAAATATTTAAATATTTTTATATAAAACTTCTAAATATTTTTATAAAACACTTGGGTTTACTTTAGAGCGCACTGACAATTCACCTTGTTCTTAAATTTCCCAGATGTCYGCAGCACTTATGTGCAAAAATCATATAATAAACAAATAAAGAAAAAACAGGCCAAAACAATTATATGTGCAAATCTATGAACTTACTGTTTTCAAAAAGATTGTATTTTTCACAACCGGGTGCTAACTTTTCTGTCTGTCTGCAGCACTGATAAATTCCCTCTGTCCAGAATTTAGGATGATATTTCACCATTATATCATTGTTGTTCTTTATTTCTAGAAGAAGCAAGCAGTATAAATAGTGAGATACAAAAAAAAAAAAAAAAAAAAACACACCCACCCACAACCTGCTGGAATACCACCAGATTTGTTAGTAAGCATTTTTAACATGGGGTATAACCTTGACTTCTTTTTGTCAGTACAGTCAATTGCTACCCTTACAGTATTGCTACCCTTAAGGAATTTCTTACATGTTACTACATGGCTTCCATATAAACAATAAGGGAGAACTGAGAATAACACATCATGTTTTCCAGTCACAGAGGGTGACAGAAAACTCTTGGAGGGGGAGGAAAAAAGCTGCAGCTAAACATATAGGACCTTTACTCCCTTTAATAGCATAACTCAGAACAGCATCTCAGTGGACATTCCCTGATGTGAAGTGACAGCAGCAAGGGGATCATCATAGCTGCTGTGGATAAGATTTTTAATGATTAACATATTGCACCACAGCAGAGGATCAAATTCTGATTTTAGCTAGACTGCACAAACCGAGTGAAATCCATACAGGTTTCATACTTCTGCTGCCTGTTATTACACACTATGCAAGGAAAGGATGTAAAAATAAAACAATAGTTTTTAAGCAATAAAAATTTTACTTTTACTTCACTTTTAGATCAAGAAAATGTGTCTAAATACATCAGATACCAGGGGCCAGCAATTTTTATTACCTTCCTTGAGATTCCTCACCCACTGATCCCGGCTTTGTGCACTTGGTGCAAAAATATAAAGTGTATTAGCATCATACACAACCTGAATGAATAAATGAATAAATAAATAAATAATCCAAAAAGACACCAACACGGTAACATTCATTTAGTTATTTCTCAGGAAACAGGGAGATAAAATGAGGCAAATGATTTTTAAACTTGGGGCCAAACTGTGGTCTTCAACACAAAAAATGAGACAAAATACATTAACTGGGAAAAAATGGAGTTTAATCTTTRTATATGTCACCTTCAGCAGGTTAAGAGAGCCAAGAGGGCCACAGGAGGCTGAAGAAAAAGTATTTGAAACAAGTTGCTCATCAAGGGCTTCGCTCTGCCCAAGACCTTTTATTTGATACAAAGGAACGTACCTGAAACGGATACTTATTTTGACAGGGACTAATGCCATCATTTTTGACAACTTCTACACATTTTATCCTTGAAATGTCAACAGATCCTTTTCTGTATTTTTTCTATAAAAGAAAAGCAAGAAAAGCTTCATTTACAATTCAAGTAAAGACGAGTTAACCCAAGGGCATCTATTTCTTTTTTTTTTTTTTTAACCTCCAGAATCTTATTTCTTTCTTTTCCACCCATGATACTAATGATGTTTTACCCACAGAATCATTTCATATGTGAAAAGGGAGGGAGAAAAGATATGAAGTTATGAAGATATAAATAGTGCATAACTGCTTAGTAAAATGAACCTCCGAATATGGAGCTTGTAATTAATTGTAATCATTATTTTAATTTTTGTATGTCAGCTAACAAAAAAAGCCTTTTTAAAAAACTTGAATGAAACAAGGGTCTTTTATCACTGATTTTGAACTACGACTAAAATGGTAAATGTCAAATGTGAAGATGAAAATTCCATCCCAATTAGCAGAATGACCAAAAATACATTTTACAACACAAAGAGCAGAGCCACCTCAGACGTAGCTATACCACTATTCTACCACCTGTAAAAACCTTACAGTTATTACCCAGGGCAAATGCAGGAGCTTTGTCAGTATCTGAAACAGCATCTGTACCCCGAGTTATTTATATGGTTACAAAAAAAAAAAAAAAAGAAAAAGAAAAAGAGAGAGGCAGAGGAAGTACGTGGAAAATTTGTGCACATCATGGTCACCATCAGGTAACAAGACAGAAACTTGAAGTCCAGATAGAGCTGTAAAGATTTTGTAATACTACCACAACTCAAAAAAAAATGCAAAGAGCTGTTACGGAATTATGGAATTCTGTAAGAATTTCTACAGCAATAAGCATTGAGTATTTGCTCCTTCCTAAACATCTTTGTTCCATTGTAGGCTTTGCAGCTTGAGAACCAACAGCCTGGCACAAAAGGAGCTGAACACAAGAGGCTCCTGCAGCGTTTTCTCCCTCTCACCTTCCCCCTACATCCTCCCAAGTCCACCATTCCATATAATTAAATAAGTCTTTTTTCAGGTCTGCTTCTGGACATCAAGAATGCAGCTCTGTCTCCTTCTGAAGGAATGTTTGCCACGTCCACAACATCTCACTGGCTTCCTACGTTCTGGGGGTACTCACATATTGCCTGGATTGCTGGTTAACAAGGTAGTGGGGCTGACAGTGAGAAGATGATACGTTTTTGTTTGCTGTTTTCCCTGCTGGAATCACAAATTCCTCAGAGGAACAAGCCGGATCACTTCCCATATTACCTTTTCTAAAATCCCTTCTCCTCCAAGACTTTCAGATCTTCATACCAGTTCTGGCATTAAGAGAGAGTTCAGAAGAACTACACATGCACAAGGAAGACAGAAGAAGAATCCAACTAGGTAATCAACTATTATTTGGGGAGAAAAATAAAAGAAAACTTCTGATAAATGTCATATCATTTTAGCACCCCATTTCCYAAGCCATGTCTTTGTATCCTCTGGCAATTTAAAGTGACTCAATTTGCATGACCATGGGGTGCCAGATTAAAGCAAGCCAAAATTAACTTGACCTGCCTTACAACCAGCGCTGAACTTCCAGCAAATGAAGCCCAGTAAAAGATTCTTCTGGTTGGGAGCATTTCAAATATTAAAATAAAATCTCGAATGGGCAAATCTCAATACCGATTTTCCATCCAGACAGGTTTCAGATTGCATCAGAGACTGTAGTTATTAATGGCCAGCAGCCATCGTCAGGTTTGCAGCTGTGTTTCAGCTCAGCATTTCTCACTATCAAACCAGCGTGCACAGGAGCAGGCAAGAATGACTTAAGAAAAACACCTTAAAAAAAAAAAAAACCCAACCTGCAATTCCTCTCCCCCTCCTACTCAGATCAGTTTCCTTTTGCTTATCTGTCACTGTGGGGCACTTATTCTGCTTGCTGGAGGTCTTGCCCTAGATGCAGGCCAGCATAGGAGCAGCAGAAAGCACAGGATCAAGCTCTGGCCCTGAACTGATGTGCAAGAGGAGCTGTACACACAAACCATGAGAAACCCACTCATAAGCTTAATTTCCAACCAGTAACCTTTAGTACACAGACAGGAAAAAAGCTCAGTAAGTACAGTGGCTAGGTACACAACGTCAAACCCTTGGGACACCTTCCATGGTTGTTTCTGGAGGTGCAAGACAGCTAACGCAGGTGAGAAGGCTTCGAGTCCCTTATGAAACAAGAGCTTTTCCCCAGCACATGGGTGCCCGCGCTCTGAGCCAGGCCCAAGCAAGCACAGAGGACTGGGGAACTTCCCAGGCTGGGGAAGCTACAAGACCACAAGAGCTGCTCCATCCCTTTTGAGGAGGGGGACGTAGAGGGAAGCCAACAGCAGCACAATGGTTAGAACATTAATAAAGATCTAACTGCTACATCCCAGGACAACAAATACACAATGATGAGCTTCTGCATTTAATAAATAAATGTTCTAATTTCAAACATTTAAAAATAAACTTTTTCTAAAAAAATACATCTGCCTGCTGAAAATAACTTGCCAAAAGGGAAATAACTATACAGAGCTACTATTAAAAGCTTCTCAGAAATGCAAAATATCAGACATACTTCATATTTTCCTATGCTTCACAAACTTGACAGTGTTGGAAGCTTCACTCCTTGTACACCATGAAGATGGACAGTTTTGTTTCCATGCAGTGTAAAAGAATAAATACTTCTTTAAAATATAAACCAGTCATATCCATAAGTGAATATCCAGTAATATCCACTGAAACCACACTAGCGGGTCTGGTATGAACACATGATTGCACAATTCCTGTTCCCCAAGATAATAATCTTGGGTTTCAGGAAGACAAGAAACATATGAATGTTAGATAAGCAGAATGCAAAACAACAGCTCAGCCTTCATACACTTGAAATGAGTTCTGTGCTCAGTACAGAAGCTCTGCAGCTTCTTAAGAAGCCCATTTTCCCACTGCAAGAGGGAACTGTTCTTCAATGTATTTCCTCATTGCTTACAACAATCTCATCCTGTTTACCTCCCGAAAAGTGGGGCGGAGGTGGCGGGTTAAAAAGCACAAAGGACTTTATGATGCCTTTGAAATTTTTCCAGCTGGGAAGTTCAGTTCTGTTGTCAAGAAATAGCAGCTTCTCCCCCCCCCCCCACCATGGGTGTTGTCCCTCTCGTTCATATTGAGCATTTCTTCCTCTTGTGCTTGTTCCCATGGAGGAAACCCTGAGATCACCAGCACGTGAACCCAGGGCACTTTTGTTCCCAAAACATATAGAGGTTTCAGCATCAATTAAATCTTTTTTTTTCTGGAGCTGCCCTACATCTTCCCCAAACATCAGTGAACCCTGAACTATACCAAGTATTCACTGAAATAATCTTCTCTGGTGGAACCTGCTCCAGACCCAAATGAGGGTGTTGGGGAGCTTATTTATTTGTTTTTAAGTGAAACGAGCACTGCATGTCACTGCATTTCACTCTTGAGAAACATTTGCACTCAAGCAATCTCATTACTATAATTATTGTAGTTAGCCCATCAGTTGGTCTCATTTTCCATTGCCTTTTTTTTAAGTGTATCAGATATGTCAGAAAATGACCCACCTTCTTTCAAGCAATCTTAATAAYACTAATAAAAGCAAGTGCCAAATATTTCTATTTATTGTTCTGAAATGCTTAGAAGATACAAAAGTAAGAGAAGATTATTTACATTCTGATCTAACCTCTTACTCTTGGAAAGAATTTCATGAGACAAAATGGAAAGAAATTTCAGTAAGAAGGGAAAAAAAAAGAAAAAAGCCTTACGCTGTGGAGCTGAGAACTCATTTTGACCTGGCTACTCAGCAGAAACCACTCACGAGCCCTGGAGAGACCAAAATATCTTGGGTTCTTGGTGGCACTGATGCAACTTCCTAACCATCGCTACAGTACGTTATCTGAAACTTACTCTTTACCTGTAATTGAGAGGTAGTCTTTAGACTGGGTCTTGTTACATTGCTATAATCCTACACAGCAGCAACATAAGCAAGCATAAAAGACAGGCCTACATCCGTACTGGGCCCTAGATTACCTATACTCTTGATGCGTATCTTCTTCAGCTTCTGACATGTTGGCATGAAAACTTCAAGTTCTTCCTCAGAAATCTTCTCTTCCTTGTTTTCTCTAAAGTTTTTTCTGTCCACTCAATTTTTTCCTCTTCATTCTCTTCCTTCTGTTGGGACTTTTCTACTGCTTTTCCTGCAGAACGTTGTCTTTGCTTTAAYGGCTCAAAATCCTGACCAGCTTTACATGCAGCTGTATTTTGGATAATGAATTCCTACTGTTTTATCTACTTCATTTCCTAAAATAAAACTGACATTGTATTTGCTTAGAGCAATAACTTCTCGGCATGCTAACTGCAGTCATGGTTCAACCCTCCTCTTCTCCAGAGGACCACGACAAAGGATACGTAACTAATCTCAGCAGTAGTTAGAACTGTTTTCCCAGTTCTGCTATTTCATAGAAGCAGTGGCTGCAGTTATCACAAAAGTATTATACAAATAGAAATGAAAGGGGTGGCTACTTGTATTCCAAGTATCATTTCAAAACAGACCTTCTTGGTGAGGAAGTTTGAAAAGCCTCTTATATTGTCATAAAAATTCRCTTATTAACTATCGTAAGACACACAACCACAATACTCTCTATAGAGTGAGACATGACAAGCACTGGATAACTTCTAAATACATTAAATACATCATTATCATTTACCTGTTTGTAAATTAGTTCTAGTTAGAAGTTGGCCATTACATCCTATTTAAACCTTTTTTGTTTGTTTTAAACCAAACCAAGAATTTTAATTTAATCTTTCTGACCACGTTGAGGGGAAGAAAATCAGCACGATACACAGTAAGAGCTGAGCAAAAGCCACAGGCTGAGGCAGCTGCAAAGGCACGTCAAAGGGAATGCATCATTCACCTGCAAGGGTAGAAATGCTTATGATGCTGAGAAGAAAAAGGGCCACCATGCCACAAAAGTCATCAGAACCATTTCAGTCTTGTATTGAACTCTCACTTACACAGAGAATTACATCAC